ACCCAGCTCTGTGCTTAACGCTTAGGGCTACACGCCTCATTTCACCTCGCTAACAACATCGTCAGCTGAGCCCCCGTAGACTCTAATGGTAATGCTGCAGACTGGGGGCATCTGGTAGGAGAGAAACTAATGAGCACTGCTAGCCTCATATGGGGCTATGAGCATGCTAGCTGTTACTGCCATTTCCCATGAGCCACCGGGGCCTGCTTCCTGTGTAATTCAGCCTGACAGGTGTTTCTCTAACCACCTCCATAACCTCACAGCAAGGCTAAGCACTGAACCGGCTCATCTGACGTGAGACCAGGGAATACAGCAATGAAAAGACTGCAGATCAATGGTAAAGAAGATTATACTGATGTTTTGGAGCAGATTTTTAGACTAACGTGGGATGTAACGATCCAAATCCATATCCAAATATCCAAATCTCACAGTACAGTTTTATCATGATATGGATCTCATGGTATGATATTTATTGCGATAAGTTTTGGGGAAGCTATTATAGGTAGGATACTTATTGCTTTTAAAATACCTTAACCAGACTCAATGCAAGTCATAATCCCAAGAATAAGTAAAAACAACATATTTCGTTCATGTTGTCTGCACTGAAATGAATCATGGTATATGGAGTTCCCTATGTTTCTTGGCTGTTACTACTATAAAACACTGCATTTAAGCAATTTAACTTGTGATTCGATATATTGTGACAGCCCACGATATTAATGAGAAACCCTTTATAATACGATATCACAATATTTCAGTTATTGTTACATCCCGAGTTATGACAGATTTTTTTGTATTAGAAATTTGCTGCATTATACTCAAAGAAAAACAATGCATTTAATATTTAATGGAGGAAAGTTTGTTAAAATTGCTGCTGTTACTATGCAGATTAGATTATGACCTATAGTCAAAATAAATCAAAGTGTATGAATTTTAAATAATATTTTTTTAGACATTGCATTATCATTCTAATACAAAACAGTTGTTAATCTACCCAGACAAATTTATGAAGGCTAATGGTCCTATCCACGGAAACGATACAGATATTACACATGAATTCAGTTTAGCATATTTCCAAATCACAACAGCAGTCATTTCACAGTATTTAAAGTATTTTTTTAAATTTAACCAACCGGAAATTAGAAAATCAAACTGTGAAACCATGATTGGTCAATAACAGACAAGCATATAGATAATCCAGACCAAAAAAGACATGACTTTAAACATGTATAGCATCTTTGCCTTTTGGTTGACAAAGATTTCATGTTGGTTTCTTCCCCAAAATCCCCAAGTTATTTGGTTGTAACCCAAACAAACAGGGCCAAACTCTGTTACCACACGGTCTGCACTGTTACTGCCTGACACACCACAATCATTATAGCGTGCCATAAACAACAATTATATGTCCCCTTTTATGAGTATTTGGATTGTTAACACGCATCAACAAGGAAAGGGGAATCCCATAGAAGTGCATGGGCGCTTTTTCTGACACACTGCTGACAACTTAATGAACTCAGTTAGCTCTGTACGGTACGAAAAGTGATATTCGATAACCGTCATGATATTTTAATGTTTTTTAGAGATAATAAGTATAGTTAATATGAACATTACAATCTTGATACTTAATATTATACTATGAAAATTGATACTATGATATATTTTGCAGCCCTGCGTGCACTTTAGACTGCAGGGCTTAATGCTCAATTTGTTCTTTCACACTTGATCTTCAGTGTGAACTTTAAATGCCCCAGAAGTGTCCCGCATGCACATTGGAGGACACGAGGTCGTCACACACAGCGAGCGTGCTCAGTGTTTACAGAAGTATCCTAAACACTGGGCTTGTCTCCCAAAATACGGTCCAGTTTTTCGTAAATTGGACAGGTTACATGTCCACAGCGCTTCGTTTGTTTGAGTCTTTAGCATCTTTGTGTTTGACTCACAGGCTCTTTTTTCGTTGACATTGGATCCAGGACCGCCTGTAGCCGCGCTTGCACATTTTTTTGGCAATCATTTCAAAAACTGCTCAGTTCCGATAAGACCCCTCCAATTTGGTCTGAATACAGCGATCCCCCCCAAAATATTAATAAACTCTCTAACCTCGCTCTCCCTCCATTGACTAGTCCCCGAACCTGGCGTGTAGGTGGGATGAATGTGACCTGGCCGTTCAGACTGAAGTCGCATGTCAAAAGATCGGACATGTATTGGTTTTAGGAGCACATATCCAAGTTTCCTGGGTCGCATTTGAAAAAATCTGATCTGTGTGGTTCAGACTGTCATTAAAGTTATCAGATACAGGCCACATAGGAGTGAAAAAATCAGATTTGGGTCACTTCAGGCTGCAGTCTGAATGTAGCTTTAGATTCAAGATCCAAACTCCTTCATTAGCATTGTGATCATTGTATATTATTTGTAGTATTTCTGATTGGTGACCGTCAAAATCAATTTTTACAATTAAAACTACTTTTACATCTACACTTGCTTAATCAGAAATGTCCCACTTTATGGCCTTCAGATCTTTTTTTTTTCTTCATTTAACTATAGATGTTTTAGTGATTTATAAAAACATGCATTCTCACTGTGAGCAGGGTCACCTCTCCATAGATCTGATCCTTGTCACGTCAGATTCTCGTCTCCATGGAGATAGAAAAGTTAAAAACCGTACTTTCCTGGCAAAGCAGTGGCATCTCTATAAATACAAGCAGGTGGTGGAATCTCTAGCCAGAAATGTTACACAGTGCAGCTTTACAATGTCTGACAGATCTTTTTAGGGAGGTTTTGTCAAAATGATCTATGACATGGGGATAATGGTGGCAGCTTTTGTCATTTCTATGATTAAAAAGCTTCTTCTGCCTGAGCCGAGATGGATTCATTGGGGTAAAAATCAATGCTGTTTCTATGGTTGTCAGTGGCGTTATCGATCGAGTGTACAAAATGCTGTAAAAGTGTAATAATATTGATGTGAGGGGGACCAGACGAACAGGTACGAAGAGCATGTCTGGACCAATGCACTATAAATGTAAGGACACAGTTGTAAATCTACAGTGGTGGAGTCAAGAAGTTCAGTTTCACAATCGGCTTTTGAGAAGAATAGTTTGAGGATAACAGGATGACAAAATTACATGTTTGCTTTTCCAAGGTTGGCAAGTAGATTCTAACCGTTGTATACTGTCATTGTGTCCTTGGACAAGACACTTCACGCACTTTGCCTATGTATGGATGTGTTGTGTGAGTGAATTACTGGATTTTATATAGAGAGTCATGTATTATGCATGGTTCATATGAAATCCATTGCCTCTATCTTCATAATTGGCATAAACAGTTGAGTAATAATATTAATAATTAACCATTTTATAGCACTATGTTAGATGCTTTACAATAGAGTCCTGCAGGGGTCCATTTTTGGAGAACCGCACCCGTGCAGTACTGCACCGCCCCCACCCGCTAACCTGTTATTATATCAAAGTTAAACCTGCATCTTCCCGGACCCGTTAACATTCCACCTGTTACCCGCCCATGTCCGTGATAAATCACACACAAATTAAAAGTATTCTAACTGAATCATGGATCAGAATATGAACTGAGTTACGACTTCAAGAATTACAATCATGAAATGAAATGAAACAATTACGAATCAAGATGCAGCACTTTTGTACTGGAGGACTAAACCACAGGGCTAAGCGTGGGCTCGGGGTTCTCTCTCTCAAGTCCAAGTGTAGTCCAAGTGTAGTCCAAGTGTAGTCCAGGTGTAGTCCAGGTGTAGTGTGTAGTCCAGGTGTAGTCCTGGTTTAGTCCTGATTTAGTCCTGATTTAGTCCTGATTTAGTCCTGGTGTAGTCCTGGCCTGCCCGTGTGTAATCACTACCGGCCCATTCCACCAACTATTTGCGAGTACCTGACCCGGTACAGGACTCTGCTTCACAATATAACAGTACTTCCTAACAAACCATTGGCCTATCTTGAACTATACCTAGAATATTTTTTTAAGAAGTTACATTTGAAAAAAAAAACAACACAAATGTCAACTTTGATCAAATTATTATATTGTAGTTGAAGCTTTGTGCAATAATGCCATTTTCCATTTGCAATTTTTCAATTATTGTCATTATTTTGATTTTAGTGTCTGCTTGACAGTGATCTAAATAGGCTTAGTGTTCATTTCCCCTTTTCTAGATGTCTGTCTTGATTTCAGAATGTCTGTTTTCGCAGCGGGTCAGTGAAGTGTTCATTAAAAACCTGTAAAAGCCGTATAAAGGCACGTCCCTGTGATGGATGTGCTGAGGCCTGATGCTCCCTGCAGCTTTAGCCTCTGTCTGTCCTTTAGAGCAGACACATGCGGCCACTTAACTACTGCTACTCTCTCTCTCCCCATCTCTCTATCGCTTGTTCTCTCTCCTCTCCTGTACTCTCTCTATCTCGCACTCTCTCGCTTTCTATTTCTATTTCTATCCCTTTTCATTCTCATTCTTTTTGTGTCAATCTCTCTCTCTCTGTCTCTATCTTTCCATCTCCCTCTTACTTTCTCTCTTCCCCTATTTCTCCCTTTTCTCTTTCTCTGTCTCCCTCCCTCATGCCGTGTACCACTTGTACAGAGCTGTGTGTCCTCCACAAAAGAACTGCAGGGGACAAACTAAAAGCTACTTAGATGAATGACTGAAATGATAATACTGGACCTTTTCTTCATGGCTGATATTACTTCAATTTGACCATAGAGTCAGTAGTTTCTGGCTCTATGGAGGTCATGTAGGTTCAGCAGTCGTGCAAAATTAAAAACATTTTATCTCTATAAACTCTGGACGATTAAATAACAGAGAATTTGCCTATAATAATTTAGGAAGTAGTTTTTTTTTAACTTATTTCATAAAGGACAAAAACAAATTAAAGAACCAATAAAAATATATTAGAGGTTTAGTGCTGACAACAAAGTAAAATAAAAAAAACATAATTGACTAGATGATAGTGCAAATAAATCTTGTTAAATACCCCTCTCTCTGTTTTGTTCAGGGCTGGAGAGTGGAGGCGTGACCCTGAAAGAGCCTGCTTCAGAGAGAGAGATCGAGAGCTCAGTCACAGTCACTCTTCGCTGCCACATCGACGGACATCCTCGGTAAGTCTCCCAACGGGTCAGTGATCAACAAAAATATATCTCAAATTGTATTATCTCACTAAAAGTGGGGGATATTTTGCAATAACTATAGTCCTGTTATGGACAGTGTACTATATTCGGCATTTTCAAAAACAGCACTTGTCATTTTATCTTGTTGACAATGTATTGGTTACTGCGATCCTCTTCTCCTCACTTCACCCTTAACTCAGGCTCAAAGTTCAAAGGTCACACATCTGAAGAGTCCATGAAAACCTACTCCAGTGTTTGTGTTGGCCTCTCCCATGCTCCAGTGGCGCTCTTCTGTCCATTCATCTCCTCATACTGTCGCTTATATATCCTTTCTCTTTCTCTCACTTCATCAATCAAGCCTGAGTCCCTCTCACTCTCTCTGTCCCTCTGTGTCCCTCTCTTACTTCTGTTTGTCTCGCTCTCTCTCTCTCTTTATGTCTCCCTCTTTCTGTCCCTCCCTCTCAGTCTGTGTGTCCTCTTTCTCTCTCTGTCCCTCTTTCTACCTCTGTCTGTTTCTCCCTATTTGTCTTTGTCCGTCTCCTATTTGTCCCTCCCTGTTTCTGTTTCTCCCTTTTGGTGTCTCTCTATGTCCCTCTGTCTCTCTAATGCTTTCTGTGTGTGTGTTTCTCTCTCTCTCTGTGTCTTGCTCTCTCTATCCGTCTGTTTCTCTCTGTTTGCCTCTCTCTGTCTCATTCTCTGTCTGTCTCTTTCTCTCTGTCTGTTTGTATCTCTTTCTGTCTGTCTCTATCTCTCTGTCTCTGTGTGTGTCTCTCACTCTCTGTCTCTCTTCTCTCTCTCTCTCTCTCTCTCGCTCTCTCTCTCTCTGTCTCTCGCTCTCTTTGTCTCTCTATCTATCTTTCTCTCTCTCTCTGGCTCTCTGTCCGTTTCTCTCTTTGTCTCTCTCTCTTTCTGTCTGTCTCTCCTGCCTCTGTGTATGTCTGTCTCTCTCTCTCGCTCTCTTGCTGTCTCTCTCTCTCTCTCTCTCTCTGTCTCTCGCTCTGTCTCTCGCTCTCTGTCTATCTCTGTCTCTCTATCTCTCTCTCTCTCTCTGGCTCTCTGTCTGTTTCTCTCTCTTTCTCTCTCTCTCTCTCTCTCTCTGTCTCTCTCTCTCTCTCTCTCTCTTGGTCTGTCTCTCTTTCTATGTCTTCTTCTCTCTCTGTCTCTCTCTCTCTCTCTCTCTCTCTGTCTCTCTCTCTCTCTCTCTCTCTTGGTCTGTCTCTCTCTCTATGTCTTCTTCTCTCTCTCTCTCTCTCTCTCTCTCTCTCTCTCTCTCTCTCTCTCTCTCTCTCTGTCTGTCTCTCTTCTTCTATGTCTTCCTCTCTCTCTCTCTCTCTCTCTCTCTGTCTCTCTCTTTCTCTCTCTCTCTGGTCTGTCTCTCTCTCTCTGTCTCTGTCTCTCTCTCTCTCTCTGTCTCCTCTCCCTCTCTCTTCTTCCCTTTCCTTGATCAATCATACCTGACCTCTCGTCTCTTCCTCTCTCATTTAGTCCCACGTGTCACTGGTTTAAAAATGGAGTGAAGCTGACGGAGAAAACCCATCAGATCAACAACAAGGAGCGCACCCTGAGCCTGAAGAGTGCGTCTGTGGACGATAACGGAGTTTACTACTGCTGTGCCAAGAACGCAGCGGGACACGTGTGCAGCAACAGCAACTTCACTCTGAACATTATAGGTGAGAATCTGAACTCGCTGAACGGGTTTAATTGGGTTTTTCAAAAAGAACCTGTTCCCAATACTGAAAAAAAAAAAGGAATAATTTGCTATTTTTCAGTGCTTTCCCCCTACATACAGTAAGCCACAGTATATATATGCAGTTTTATTTATTTTTTTCACATAGAATTAATATCAAACTAAGAGTGTGTGAAAAGAAAAATACATGCCAACAATAATAATAATATTCTACAAATATTAATGAGCCAATAATTTAAATAAAATGAAGAATGAGAAAAATAAAAAAATTAAAAATAAATAAAATCCTAATAAATACAACAAAAAATAAATACAATCCTAATAAATACAAATAAAATAAATACATACAATAAAAATAAATGCAAATAAAATAAATAAATACAATAAAAATAAATACTAATAAAATAAATAAATAAAATAAAAGGGGGGCAATCGGGTTACACATACATACAGTACATACATAATCAATCAATAGTCAATCTACAGATGCATTCTTATGAGACCACATTTTAGGCCAATATTAAAGAAATTATTTATGTTGAAAGTTTTTTTTTATTTTTTCTGTTTTAAAAAATAGTGTTGCGGGAATTTTTTATTTTTATTTTGTATTTTTTATTCTAAATTTAAATATATTTTATTTTATTCTCTACTTAGGTTCTGCAATCATCACTTGATTTTTTTTTACATTTATCTCATATTTCCTACTGTAAGACACCACATTCTCTCCTGTTTCTCACTAATTTAAGACCTGATGTCCTATGTAATCTAGTCTAATTTAGTTTCATTTCACAACACTATTAAATGGAGCATATGTGAAATCCATTGGTTATATTTTTCACTTAGCCGCTTGAAGAGACCTGTCTTGTTAAACTGATGGTAAATTACGTCAAATCCATCAGAATTTTTCCACTCTGCACAGGTAAATTGCCAGTGTGGAAAACCATTAGCTGAGAGAGAGCAAGCGGAAAGACGAAGGAAGAAGAGGAATTTTTAATGTGATTACCAAGAGCATGTTTCGCACCCATTTCCTCCTCACCCACGCAGTCTCATATATTAAAGTGTACATCCTCATTTGAATGTCTCTATATTGTTTATGGCCAAGGAAAAATGGAAAAGGCAATGGATTTCTGAGCAACATCCATCCCAGACCGGTGTTGAATAACTGTTCACACCTCTGTAGATTTTATGAGCTCACAGACCATTGGGCAAAGCTCGGCGAGGGTTAAATTTATCAACAACTGGCAAATAAAAAACACATAAAAATCAGGATGAGTTTCAATATACAACACAATTACATAATGTTTATCAATTAAAGCAGTGGTCCTCAGCCCTTTTTTGCACCATGGCCTGGTTTTATGTCCAATAATATTTCGTGGAACAGGGCCGTACAGGAGGAGACGCAGTACATGGTTTAGTCCTGATTAAATCCTGTTTTAGTCCTTGTTTTAGACCTGGTTTAGTCTGTTTAGTCCTGGATTGGACCTTGTTTAGTCCTGGTATTAGTTATGGTTTAGTCTTGGTTTAGTCCTTTTTAGTCTTGGTTTACACCTGGTTTATTCCTGGTTTTAGTTCTGGTTTTAAACATGCTTTAGACTTGGTTTAGGCCTGGTTTAGTCCTGGTTTAGTCCTAGGTTTAGTCCTAGGTTTAGTCCTGGGTTTAGTCCTGGTTTAGTTTCTTGGTTTTAGTCCTGGTTTAGTCCTTTTGTTTAGACCTGGTTTAGATTTGTTTTTAGTCCTGGCTTTTAGTCCTGGTTTAGTCCTGGTTTAGTACCTGGTTTTAGTTCCTGGTTGTAGTTCCTGGTTTTAGTTCTGGTTTAGTCTTGGTTTTAGTCAGCTGGTTTAGACTTGGTTTAGTCCTGATTTTTAGTTTCCTGGTTTAGTCCTGGTTTTAGTCCTGGTTTAGTCCTGGTTTAGTCCTGGTTTTAGTTCTAGTTTAGATGTGCCAAACGTCCCACAGTCCGGTACCAGTCCACGACTTTAGGATTAGGGACCCCTGAATTAATGCATAGCAGTAACGCTTTTACACTTTCAATAATCTTAATAAATCTTGGGCAAATATTTGGAAATGACAAAGAAAACACATGTTCATTAATTCAACATTGTGTGTACTTGTATAAAGCCACTGACATTCACCTTTGACATTTCTTTATTTCAATATAAATTACATTGTGATCAATACTTTCCTATAACCGCTGACATGTTTTTTGTAATTTGAATAATAGATATGTGACAATATCATAAGAATTCTAGTAAAAAGTGTGAAAATTAATTATAAATCAAAGCCACTGTGAGACAGATTTCCCCTTTTACTGCAGCCACCTGCCTGTGCAACCTGAGCCACACTTTAGTTCAATTAGTCACACACACACGGAGACGCGCGTTTCTTAGCACCTGCGCAGGAAGAAAGCTTTACACTGGGGTTTTAAGTTACTAAATTGCCACCTCCTATTATGTAGATGCCTATACCTTAAGGACAGACAGACTGGTTTTCAATGTCTAATGTCTAGACGACCTGGGACGTCCCACAATCGCTCCATTTACTTAAAGTCGCCGTACCTGATTTTCTTCAACGCGCACTGTGTAACTTTTTGGTTGGGGTTCAAAAAAGCATCCACAAGAAAAGTTACACAATGCACTGTTAACATCAAACACAGAATTCATGTATTTGACATTAGGAAAGTGAGAAATAACTTAAGATTAAATTTGCAGTGGTTCTAATGCACTTCTAGCATCTTCTAGGATTATTCACTACAAGTTTATACACGCTGTTCTGAACTTTCAGGTACCAGAGTGGAGTTTGCTGTGACAATAGAGCTAACAACATCTAGCATGCTAACAGCACACTTCCTGGTTCTTGGACAATAAAATGCATTATAATTAGATGCAGGCAGCGATCTCATTTTGTACTTAAGAGCTGCTTTAAAGACCCTGTACACCTCACTATTATTTATTTTAGTTCAGGAGTTGCTTTTGTATTTTGGTGGACCATGAATCTATAATAAAAACTGGATAAGGCATTCTTCTCTGACTAGTGGCCACTCCAGGTACTGCAGCTCCAGGGAACTTGGGCCCAGAAAGAATTCTCCCATGGTCTGCAATGCATTTTTTAGGAATTTAAACTGTCTGTGTTCAGCTGACAGGGCATCCACAACTTTCACAAAGGTCGGATTTTGTAGGGATTGTTTTCTATTTTCACAAGATAAACTTTTAATATTTTATAAATCTTCAAAGCGTCTAAAGACTCAGCCCTGAGCCCACTCTTGCAGGTCTCGCTCTGGTTGGTCCAAACATTCCACACCGTGCACGTACAGACTTTACACGAGTGGGAGGTGCTCGCCCATATTGAGGAAGTAATGCGGAAAAGAATATTATTTTTGGGCCCATACACTAATGAGCACAGGCCACTGAAAACAATACGACGCCATCTTGAGTTCACCTTCCAGATTTTATTGTAGTTCTATGGGTGTAACTGTAGTGAGAGACTAAAGGAACAGCAGTAACTATTCCTCACTCATTGTTCAGGATCTGGCCTAGAGCAGTGATTAGATTACTTTATTTGATCCCCAAGGAGCAATTCTGGCTTTGTGATCTAGACTTTTAATCACATAAATTTTTCTAAACATGTAGTGATTGCTCATAAACACAGCAGTGTTAGAGTAGTGTATTGTGTATACCAACACAGCCCGGTTTTTGGCAGGTCAGCTCAGATATTCCAGGACTTTGGCCCGAGCTCCACAGCAGGAGGCTGGCAGCGGAAAAGTGTCAAGAATGTGAATACAGGGATCAGATGGAGCTGTTAATGTTTTATTGGGTAAAATGAGAGTCACTGGAACGTAAAGGACAATGTAAAATATGAGAGATTTAACAACTGTTATCTATAAAAATTATGGTTTTACCACAGTGTTGAACTGCCTGTGCCTTTAGTTCTGCCATGTTTTTCATTGTTATGCTTTTGCGAAAGAAAATTCAGTTTTGTCACCTGGACATTTTTTGTAAACCAATAGGTGTGTTAGTGTCTGTAGTTCCTCCCTCCAGACACACAAAAGGCAGGGAGCCACAAAACAGAACTGTGAGAACTGTGTAACAACTATCTGAAATCTTCAAGACTGGGATTGATACTTGGATGTCATCAACATTCCCTGGGGGTGCTATGCTAACTGTATGCACTGCACTGTCTGCGACTTGCTAGACTTCTTCTGATTTATTTTAACACAAGAACTGACTAGCTGTAAATAGAATAAGTGAGATGCTTTGTGCTTTTACACAAGTCACAAGGCACAAGCCAGCTAGTATTAACCAACAGTTTTTCAGTTCATCACAGGAAAATAAAACTCCTAAAAAAGCCCATGAACGCTTGTATTGTTCACAGGCTCCTGAAAATGTGTCTTTTGCAGTATTTGTTGGTGACCATTGTGTCATCATAATACCTGCTCAACATTTTGCCATACACACTACATATGATTATCCTATTTCACCATCTATAATAGTGATTAGTTGTAAGTGTTTATTGAATGTATTTGTTATTCATACACAGATGTGCTGACTGCTGTTTGTCTCTCACAGATAAGAGTGTCCCGCGGCCGGTGGTCATCCCTGAAGACCAGGTGGTGCTGAAAAATGAGGAGGCCATGTTGCACTGTCAGTTCACCGCCGTCCCGCCCCCGACACTGGAGTGGTACCACGAGGGCGAGCTTGTGGTTAACAAATCCAGGTACATGTTTACAAATACTTTATCAATCAGTAAGACTTTGCACTGAGGCTCCATCCACACTAGTATGTATTTGAGTCGTTTTTGTTGCGGATGCAGTATTCGTCCACACTAGTCCGATGGAAAAGTGTCAGAGACAGAATGATCTGGTGCCGCCAGCTCCTACGAATTCATCTGATCCGGCACTGTGTGGACACCTGAAAACGTTGATAGGCTGACGTAGGAGCTCTAGTTGCCGTCCTTATTGGACCATGTCACTGTGACTTGCGCCTTCCTGATTCGCTGGGTTCGTGACATCAGTCATGTGACGCTACTGCGGAAAACAGTTTAAACAAACCACAGACAACCATAAACAGCGTAGCTTGAACTACTTACTACTTTCACGCATGCCATCTTCCTTGGCTCGAAATCGACTGCTGCAACTTCAAACTTGGTGCTCCACTTCCTTTTTTTTTTACCGCCCACATAACGTTGTGACGACGTAAAGCCAGCCTAGTCATGTGACTAGAGTTTCAGGCGGTTTCGAGTTACAGTGTGGATAGGGAAGGCTTTGATTGTGGACACAGAAACAAAGTGTCTGGAGTTATATATATAGTTTCCAATACGGTGATTCGTTTCAGTGTAAACGTAGCCTGAGAGTTTAATGAAATATTGGGTAAAAACCAAGTGATAAACAGTTTTAGAGCTGTGTCTGAATGTCTGTGCTGGTTACATTTATGAATAACTGTGATGCCATCAATTTTATATTGTTTAAACCAATATCTTCTCTTTTACTATTATGCAGTTTTTCTGGTTACTAACAGACTTTTTTCTAACATAGCATTTGCGGTAGCTGTTTCCTTATTGTATCTCATATTTCTGCAGCCTAAACAAACCCAGAATTGCATTCACAATCACTATTACAGAAACCCATTACTACAATAGAATATACTACTATACATCATTTTAACACTTTTACTCCCCATCTCCACCAGCGACTGAAGCAGTGAGTTGGAAAGTTGCTTGGGGCTACAATCGGGCTCCCAGCATGCCCCCGCAAACACAAGCACAAAATAATAATACCAGTTTTATACATGGAGCAAGTACTCCCTCAGGCCCTCCTTTTCCTGCCACATAATCTCGATGGTAGAGAGGCTAAAGTGATTACTGCGCGCCCTGAAAAGACCTCATATTGGGAGCTAGTCACTTGTGTAATGAGCGTGCCAAAACCATTGAGTAACCTAAGCTTTTGGTGACGCTGCATTTCTGAACTGCTTGTGTACATGAAGTATTAAGTCTTTATTTCACCTCTCTCTGACCCTAGCCCCATACAGTGACCGCTCGCTCCGGAACTGGAAGCAAATTTTCCTTGAATTATTCCCATAGTCCCATAAAAATTCAAATATTAAGAGTTCAAAGACATTGCGCTGGCTAATCGGCTATGTAGTAACTAATACCTATAATGTGGCAGTTTTAAGCCCCAAAAAGCACATTTAAAACACAAGATTTGAAATTCTTTAATAACTTACCGGTTTATAATGCTTCAGAAACAGATTTTAAATAACATTAGAGGTTTTGTGGACATAGTTACCACCTACTTGGCCCTGAGCAAGCTTCAAAACTTTAAAATGATTATTATTATTATTTATTTATTTATTTATTTTTTATTGAAAGTCCATGGGAAAAATAAATGAGATCTATCCCTTATGTATGGGTAATTCCACCTCAATTCTCCCAAAAAATAGCAGTTTGAACCCTCACATTGTCCAATTGCAAAATAAATTGGTATATGGGTAAATCATAGCCAAGAAAGCCAGAATTTCACATTTTAGTTTGATTGAACCAACGGTTTCTGAGATATTACAATTTATTTTTTTTACTTTTTAGTGTGGACACCGAAATTTAATACCATTTTCTCAGCAACTACTAGTCCGATATCAAAAACCAAGGTATCTCTGGAAAGGGGAAATCATAAGGAATCCAAATCTGAGTACTTTAAAGATGAATTACCTTTTGACCTATATTTTGACCTTGAAATTCACAATAAAGGACACACCTGACCTCCAATAGAAAAAATGTAGCCCTATATGTCTACTACAACATATAAAAAATTTGGAGGGGTTTTCTTTTTCCATTTTCACACAAACCTATCTAGAAGTTGACTTACTCCCATCTTAAGACATTCTAACTCATCGGGTGAACTGAGGTGGACTGACCCATACACTAAACTTGCCTACAAATTTTTTTTATAATATACACAGTTTAAACAACAATAAGTGTTACTTTTATAAATAATAGATTTTTCTAGCTCTCTTTGGTCACTTTTTACTCTTTACATTACATTGGTAATTCACTTTCTCTACCTGGTATCCGGGAATAATATATAAAATGCAGATGTGTGCCAATAGCTTCTCTAACTGTCGTCGCTCACTCTTACATTGTTCATTTATATATGGGCATTTAAGTGTCTTGCTTAAGGACACAATGACAATCTCTATATATCACCTGAATTACAGTCCCGCCTACTAGGGATTTAACAATAACCAAAATATTGAGATGTCGTCAAAAGTCTCACAATAATATCGTGGGAATTACTAGTTCCTTTGCTTAAATACATGGTTTTATAGTAGCAACAGCTTATAAACATAGAGAACTACATATCCCATGATTCATTTCAGTACGGAAAACATGAAGAAATATGTTTTTTACTTGAATTTTTGGGATTATGACATAATTATGATGATAATTCACACCAAAATCTTGTCAAGGTATTTTAAAAGCAAAAAAGTGTCCCATCTACAATTATATCAACCTTCACAAAATATTGCAATAAATATCGTACAGTGAGATGTCTATCGTGATAATATCGTATGTTTATCAGAAATTTGGATATTGTTACATCCCTCCCGCCTACCCATTTGTTTGAATTTCCGCCGCAAATTTTACAAGCACCGAATAACTAATCAGTTTATCGAGCTGCTGTAATGTCCAGGGAATGTCTTTAGTCAGGGGTTTGAGGGGCGCACCACTTGGGAAGTCTAAATATTTAATGTAGATAATATTGTGCATGTGTGAAACGGAGCTCAAGGCAGTTTTGGCAGACTGAGATATCCCACTGTGGGGTAAACCAACAAACTACAGCACAGTGTTTGTGGAATGTCCAAACCTCTCCAAAACCTCTCCGGTGAAACACAAAGGCTACTCCAGATATGGACTTAAACAAAAGGGACTGACTCAAAAGATCAAATAGAAGTGATAAAAAAAAGTAGAACATTTTTATTCCAAATCTTAATTCAGAAATCATTTTTGCTACAATAGTGAAGTATCTCCATTTAGGAATACATTTGTTTTGTTTTGTTTTTGTTTTGTTTTGGAAAATTCATGCAAAACAAACATGATGAGAGGAATTGCCAAAATCATATTATGAATTTATTTACGAAATTATTTTTGTTTGGAATATGGAAGTTGTTTGGATATCTTTTGTATATACTTAACATGCCCTACTTATTAGTTAATAGTTAATAATGATAATATTGGTGTATTAACTTTTTAAATAAATGTTAATAAACAAACAAATAATGGATCAGACTAGTCATTGTGTTTGTAATTTGTAGTATATTTGTACAGCATCGTTGCACATGTCTCCATAGGTCTGTTCATTTAACACAAAGATCACCCTCATGAGAAATCTCACTGTGCTGCCAAACTCTCTTACCTATTTTAAGGAACTACTACTGTATTGCGTGTGTGTCAGAAATCCTGTTATGTTTTATTTTTTCCATTTTCCCATGCATGTATACTTTTATTTTTTTGTGTGTGTGCATGTATTTATCTCTATATCCCCACTCCCCATGACTTGTTTTAGGTCAACTCTCTCTAATTATTCCAGCCCCTGTCAGACTCACATTCCCCTGCAGGCTGCCAGAGGCCAAGTGGGGTTGCAACCACAATGAGATATTTCTTTTTTCCCCTCTCCGTATCCTGCATGTGTGAATGAAATTTTTGGAGTTGCGTGATATTAAAACATACATTATTTATTGAATATTAATACGGCAATTACTTTGAAAATTGAGTTGAGTTACCCCCTAGGTGTAATAAAAGGCTTTGTATTGCATCAGGTTCAGGAATGGTATTTTTCCTGAAAGAGGTGGGAATAGAAAAGTAGTTTTTAGTTTTTGTCATATTTGCAAGCAATTTTAAACCCAGTGTTTGTCATATATTGATAGCTTTGGTTATATACTTTGCTTTTACTAAAATTCTACCTTTAGTAAACAGCTGATATGGAAACTGAAAAGCTGACTGCATTCAGAATAATTTGTACTTGAAAGCTTTTTATTTTTAGCTTTTATAAACTTTCTACGTGATACAATTGACAACCCAGAGGAAATTCAGAAACCATAAATGCATTACTGTAACAATTGTAGAAGTGTTTTCCTTGGTTTTGTAGGGTAACGTGGTGCCCAGATTTGTTGACAAAAATGTGATTGCGCCCATTAACGGACAGAATGTTTTATGCTGTGGTCTCCCTGAGGCAGTTATAGCTGAATGCTCTCATTGTTGTTTGTAACTTTGTTTTGTTTAGAAAACCATATGAGGAAAAGTACACAGCATACAATTATTCCCACATGTGATGCTGTATGGATTTTTGAGCTGATACCGATATCCGATATTTGGTTGGCCGCAATTTTACCAGTGTTGATACTTGGCTTTTAAAATCCACGTCAAGTCCCACATATTTATCTTAAGTTAAAGGCACATTGTGTTGCTTTTCTAGTGGAGGGTGGATGCTATTGCTTTGTCTTACTCATATATTGGAACTGCCTCTCCTTACTTTATAACATTTTACATGTGTATTAAAATTAGGGATGTAACAATAACTGAAATATCATGATATTTTATCGGCAAAGTTCTCACAACTACATAGACCATGATCCTTTGCTCCATTTCAGTGTAGACTACAAGAAGAAATAACAGTTCTAAGCCTTAGTTCTTTGAATTAAGTCTTTAAGGAAAAAGTAGGATATGAACAGTTTTAGCTGTTTAGCCTCCACAAAATATCGCAATAAATATTGTATCGTGAGATGTACACTGTGAAAATATCGTACAAAGAGATTTGGATATTGTTACATCCCTAATCGTGAGCTTCCAATGATATTGCAATAAATATCGTACCGTCAGGTTCATACTGTGACGATATCGTATTGTTACAATCCTCATTAAAATGTCTGTCTTGTGTTTGTTTCTTGTTTACAGAGTCATCCTGTTGTCCAATGGCACCCTGTGGATCACTCAAGTCAAACCCAGAAACACGGGGATCTACAAATGTGTGGGACGAGGGCTCACAGGGACACAGGTCGTACAGGAGGCATCACTGCAGATCGCTGGTACGGACACACTGGTTTATACTGGTTTAATGGTTTCGAATGTTATTGTAGTGGACCAAACAGAAAGACAAAGACAAGCTATAAAAATAAGATGTAATTTAACAAAGGCTCAAATTAGGTAAATCATTAACGAAAAGCTGGGCCCAATTGGGGTAACTTAAATCAAACTGAACAGAACAAAACTAACCCAACCAGACAAAAAACATACAGGTACAGGAGGTACATAAGAAGATACATGAGGGCCAACTAAAACTGAACACAAGAGGGGGGAATGGCACTAAATAATTAACTAAAACTACTAACTTAATCAAAGTAACAAGAAGACAAATAAGTATAGTAATTCAGAAATAATAAGTGATAAAAGTAACCTTGAAATAACTAGGTCCTCCGTCTGGCCACTCAAACAAAACAAAAAGAACAAGTGTAAGTAAACAGTTCAGACTTATATTAACTAAAATGTGTGACCCCAATTTTGAATATTAATCTAAATAAAGGAATTAAATTAAACTATGTGTGCTGTAATAAAACTAATGGAAATGAAATGATACTAACACTGTGGAGTGTTGGCAGAGGTGTCCACCACAGTTATGGAGATGGTATGTTTACCTACTTTAACTACTATTCATGATAAGGACTCTTACTAAGACTAGTACTGTTCATTTTTATCACATATCACATTACAATTACAATTCTTTAGTGCAAAACCACACTGCAAATATTGGCAGAGCTATATTTGGATTTTATGATTTTATGACCTCATTTAGTCAGTATATTTGATGATGTCCTGGGAGTTGGCAGATTGCACCTTAAATTAGGGACTGGGTGATATTAAAATGCCATGAAAGGGTGATATGCCAGCACAAGCCAACATTGCATCCTTTATCTCTGCAGCTATTGTTACAAAATGACAATAAAGCTTACAAAGAGAATAAAATGTTGACCCTAAATATATTCCAATCCAGACAAAGGAAAAACATCTCCATGGAGACAAACCGGGCGTGAACTCTTGACCTGAAAAGTTACATGCAAATGCAAAGTTAAAAGCAATCCTCCCCAAAAATCCCCAAAACAATAAACACAAAGGTATTCAAGTAAGATGTTTAGCCTGAAAAGAATGAATAAAAGAGACTGAATCAACTTGTATTGTGAAATTGTTGACTTTCCCCTCTATTGTAATTGCCATAGTCATAGATTTTCTGTTGTTTTGCTCACCCTATACTCTACACACCTGTGATTGTGTAAGGTGATACTGTGAGGGCCATTACATATTTACCCATCATGCTCTGCTCTCCTCACGTCTTTCACTTAGAGCCAGATCTGCTCCGGGATAATCACATTCTCCTATTGACATCCGGCCAGCTGTGCCCACTACACTGCTGCACTATAGCTCAGCACGGATGCATTTTCCTGTGGCTCCTTATCATTATTTCCTCTCGAAGTCCAGCTGTTTGCCAAAGCACATCATGTTTACCCCATCGTGATTCCTGTATAGGCAAATAGCAGCTGGCAGGAGGCAACAACACAAGGAAGGACCCAATAAACCACATCACAGGGAGACCAGGCAGATAGTCAAAGGTAATGGGGATGTCGAAGTTTTCTTGGAGACAGTCAAAATAGGAATTTCAGTCAAATTAAATGGTGCCACTAGATCTAAACCAGGTCTAAAACAGAACTTAAAGTCTAAAGTAGAGCTAAACCAGGACTAAAAGGACCAAAGGAGTACAAAAATGTAAATAAAATGAAACTGCTCTTCTCAAGACTGGAAGCTATCAGTTCATGTGCATCTTTGCTAATTGTACGGTACATTTAATTCCCTCCCCCCATTTATGAATAAAGTATATTTACTATATTTTAACATGCTGTTGGGGTTGACAGTGTATTATTTGTCCATAAACATTAACTGTTGAACAGTGGTGGAGTTAGCAATTTTGGGGCCCTCAATATAATGCACCGTTTTTCTGTTTTGTTTTTTAATATACTTATTGTCTGTGTTTCGCCATTGTTCTTGAGATACGCACATCTCTATTTGAATTATGGTGGATTGGAAACTTGTCTTATTAGTCCAGTCACCTACTAGAAAACCAGAGCTGAAAGTAGTTTTATTTTTTGCTACTACAATTACATTTTTGTTTACATCCATGATATATGATTATTATTTTTTTCTTATAATTATTGTTTAAACATAAACTACTCTTATTTATTGTCATATTGAGAGAAAATCAAATTTCTCTGAGGCCTCGGCCATTAGTGACGCTGAGGGAAATTGGTTTGGAGGCCCTAGACAGCCGCCTTTTGCCTAATGGTAGCGCCGCCTCGGCCGTTGAATGATTCAAACTTAATAATACTTATAGGGACCTTATTACTCCATTTTCTGATCTTTGTTATAGTCAAAAACACAGCTGGAGTTGTTTTGTTTCATTAACACACAAACCCTGCATATTTAGGCGGAGTTCTTCTGTCCAATAGAAAACAAACTGTTCCACCTTGTGATGTCACATGGTGATACAGGAAGGGCTTCACCGTATTTTTAAGCTCCATTCACCTTAACTAGAATTATTTTGGTAATTTCGTCTTGGAATTTCCCATTTCTACTGAACAAAAGGTAAAGTGTAGCTGTTGCAAACTACTGCTTAATGACATAACAAGGTGGAACAGAGCATTTTGAGCTTTACAGACAAAACATGTGATTTAAACAAAACAAGTTGGCTTTGTTTTTGAAGAGGTAACACTATTCTAACATGTCTAAATGCTCAAAAGAGTCACTTTTATGTAATACAGGACCTTTAATTAATACCCTAATTGTCAGTGAAGTCCTACTAAGCCTGAATCATATGAACTGTTATCATCTTCTTCATGCTTTATTGAGGCTGTGTAGTGTTTTAATGTTACCACCTAAAATTGAATAATAATAAAATAATTGAATACAAGTTCAAATATTCTTTTTAACTTTTTCTACATTGCACCATACCTGAACAAATGAGGGATTACACTGTACTTGTAAATCAACCAAACTTGGCTCTGAACAGTATAATAATGCCATAGCGTCCACAACAGCGCTTACTTTTCTTTCTATCCACAACTGAAGACCACCACTGGAGTTTAAACTGGTCTGTGCGCCGTAGCATCTTCTCGTTTTACTAATCACCCTTGCGTTCTCAACCACAAGTGCACGCAGGTCAAATATTTTCAATAGGATTATCTCTGCATTTTCTGTGTTAGTCTTAAACTCTCCATTCATTACAAACTGCTCCCTTCTTCCTCCCAGTGAAGCCCGGGATTATCAAGTGTATCTACAGTTTTAACCCAGTGAACCGTAGCTCTTTTTAAATACCTTAATTCACTTAATCTGATGGTAATCCCTTTTGGCATTATAGGGGATTGTCAGACTACACTTGAGTTTTTGGAGACAATTTTTACCAGTTGCTACATCATATTTTCATCATATTTATTAAAGTAACAATTTGAAGTATGCGACTATATATTATTTGTCATCTTAAATCTTATTGGTTATGTAACGCGGCAACATCAAGAGGAACTCATTGAAGAATTACAGTTGGTAGCCGAAAGTATTTAAAGGTACACTAGGTCACATTCCAGCGGCTATAGGAGCTGCCATGTTTGATCCACTTCACACGCGCTGTACTTAATGCCTACTCTAGATGAATAACCTCTATATATTTAACCTGTGTGTTACCCCGGGCTGCTGGAACTAATCCGGTATTCAGGATATATATATATATATATAAAGGCCGCCATTCCTTTACAATTTATCTGGTTTAGGATATGTCTTACACGGTATATTGTAAATTTAAATATTAACGATCTTAAATCTGTATTCCTATGCATTATAAAAACTTTACTTCAAATTAATAGCACTTTGATTTATCATATTTTAGTATCATATGCCATTATATACTTTATATCATGACTAAAGTAGAAAATGTCTTACTCAGTGGCAGTATGAGTGAGATTTTAACTATCATTTGTTTTTGGTGCGTACTTAACATACTGTGTAATTGCTTCGACTATGTTAAAACTACAAATACACAACTAGGCCAAATAGCGAAGAGATTTTAGAGGATTAATCCAGATATTGATGCCAGTTATTTCATATTTTACAGATTAGAAGCCCTGTGCACTTAAGTCTGGTCAGAAATGCCATAGCAAATTTAATCACTAAATCCCTTTTATATGGACCAAATACATTACATGAGGTATTATTAGAGGTGGGACCAAGTCGTTGTTTTGCAAGTCTCAAGTAAGTCTCAAGTCGAGTCTCAAGTCACTGGCCCATAAATCCAAGTCGAGTCTAAGCCATCTGCTTTGAGCTTCAAGTCATTTCAAGTCTTTAAACCAAAAAAGAGTACTTAGATTTTTGCTTTGAAACTGAATTGTACTTAAAAAGCCATGATATATGACTACAACTACAACTACTCTTATATTAGAGTTGTAGAAATGCTAATTTTTCTTTTTTAAATGTCTTGACAAGAGTGTGGATTATTACGTTCAGAATAGAAAGAATTCAGTTTTAAAAGTGCTTAATAAGTTATTTTGTCATGTGTCTGCACTGAGATGGAAGTATCATGTACTATGTTTTACTGTATATTACTGTAGTACATTTGAGAACACCAACTCACACTACTTCAGTTTCATCCAAAGTAACAAACAGAAGTGGGAGGGACATGTTCCAGTTTGTTCCTTTAAAATTCAGCTCTGCATTTATCAACTGTAAAGAAAAAAAAGCATTTTCTAAAAACATTTTTTTTTTTTTAGGAGAAGCAGCAAGTCTTCTCAAATCACAGACCTCAAATTAGAGTCAAGTCCCAAGTCACTGACCTTCTAGTCCAAGTCGAGTCCCAAGTCTTTGTCTTTTTTATAAAGTCAAGTCTCAAATCCCAAAAACAGTGACTCAAGTCTGACTCAAGTCCACGTCATGGCTTACAAGTCTCCACCTCTTGTTATTAGCATCTTTTATTGTTCTAAATGTGTGGTTAGAGTGATTTTATTAAGGGTTCTTCATTTTTCCATGTTCAGTACAATGTTAATTCCTTTATTTATATTGTATTGTGCATGAGATTATGATTGCGCTGTTTTTGAGTTCACTGGAGTTCAAGTCTATGAAGATAAAGTTGTCTCACAAATCAGTGTTATATTTACAGAATCACAGCTGGTCTGGACAAATGTCGACCAAATATTCACACACGCATGCCCCTCGCAAAGGATTAACATGGACATCTGCCCAGTCTGTTTAAACCACAGAGCAGACTATTTTCATTGATGTGTTTTACTGTTAAACTTGGCTGAAATGTTTTCTTTATAGTATAGAAACAAGATACATTATTTTTGCCTATGTCGCCCTGTACTCACATTAGCTTGACACTGCACAGGTCTTTTTACTGTGGTTTCCTCAGACTCTGCCTTGTTGCAAATTTCATTAGTTTCTTCAAACAAAGCCGGAAATGTCTCAAACAGAGCTGTAAATCTGAATTATACATGCTTTGTTTTTCTCATGAAATTGAAAATCAGTCGCGCTTTGAAGATGGCTGATAATCTCTGTGAATGAAATCAGTTTCTTTGTGTAAGTTTCCGCTTTATGCTTGAACGCAAGAATTTAGATGGTTACCCAAAACACTCATGACAACTCTGTTAAGGAATGTAGATCAGGTTTAGCTTCCTTTTTAGTTAGATTTGTCACGTTAAATCCTGTTTCTGGCCAAGGGTCTCTCACTTGCTTGCAAAGGTAGGACCAAGTCATCATTTTGCAAGTCTCAAGTAAGTCTCAAGTCTTTGACCTCAAGTCTGAGTCAAGACCCAAGTTAAATACAGGCAAGTCCAAGTCAAGTCTCGATTCACTGGTCCATAAGTCCAAGTTAAGTCCAAGTCATCTGCTTTGAGCTTCAAGTCATTTCAAGTCACCCCAAACCACCAAATATACCTTAGATTTTTGCAATTTATATGACTTTTAAGATAAGTTGTACTCATAAACTCATAGTATATTTATATATGAGTATTTATAGAATATTTAAGAGAAGGAGAAATGCAAATTTGTCCTTCTTAAATGTCCGGGAGGAGGCCCCGGGGAAGACCCAGGACACGCTGGAGGGACTATGTCTCTCGGCTGGCCTGGGAACGTCTCGGTTTTCCCCCGGAGGAGCTGGAGGACGTGTCTGGGGTGAAGGAAGTCTGGGAGTCCCTGCTTAGGCTGCTGCCCTCCCCGGCCCCGGATAAGTGGACGAAAAAGGATGAATGGATGGATAAATGTCTTGACAAGATCTTAGTGTAAATCATTACAGTCAGAATAGAAATAATTCTGTGCTTCTAAAAGTGCTTCTCAAGTCTTAAGTTACAGGCCTCCAGTCGAAGACAAGTCCCAATTCACTGACCTTCATGTCCAAGTCGAGTCCCAAGTCTTGGTCCATTTTATCAAGTCAAGTCTCAAGTCCTAAAAATAGTGACTCAAGTCTGACTCGAGTCCCAGTCACGACTTGCATGTCCCCACCTCTGCTCGCTTGTCTTATAAATATTATGTTGTTCCACTGTATGTATCAATCTTCCATCCATTGAGTGATTTTATTGAATTAAAAGACTTTTAGCAGAGTGTCCTGTTTGTCTCCATAGAAATTCGCAAGTTTTATGTTATTTTTGAACAAGACAAGACTTAAACCATTAAAAAAAGGTTTAAGACTCTAAACATTTGTCATATAATGCTTTTCTGTGGTTGCTTGATAGTCCTGAAATTTCTTAATTGACAATGCATCATGGTGAATGTTAAATATTCTACATATGTATCTCTCATATATCTCTACTATGTGGCCTTCATAACTAGTAACATTAAGGTTCATTCATTTATTTGTCCATGACTCCACTGGTGCAATAATTTGTACATTTTCATTGTCAGTGAGAGGATTCAACTTCTTTTGTGTGGTCCAATGGTTTACGGGGTAGTTCTAGTCCTAGAGCAGCACTCAGTACACGTTTTAACTTCCCACCCACATGGTCTGTTAACCTTGTGGAACTGTTCTTTGTATCTCTGTATCTAAACTCTTCTATTTGCTAAAAGCCTCTTTCTTTGCTTCCCACAGAGATAGACGACATGGTTCCGCGGGCGTCCCAGGTCTTCACAGCAGACACACTGCAGAGGGTGCCCTGTCGTGCTCCTCGGGGCAAACCAGAGCCAGATGTGTGGTGGGAGAGGGGAGGAGAGCGGGTGCCCACTGAGGGGAGGGTGTACCAGGAGGACCTGGACCTGGTCTTTAGTCCCACTGAGGCCGGGGACTCAGGGGTCTACACCTGTGTGGCAGAGAATAAAGCAGGACGACGCACACAAGAGGTTACCTTCACTGTGGCCAGTAAGTTTCACTGTCTATTTGGGTATTGGCTATAAATAAAAGAACCTTTGCCCTAATCTGACATATGTACATTATAACATTTACAGATGTTAATTCAAATACAGTGTCCCTAAATAAATATAAAGACAAAATAGAATGCTTACATTAAACCAATAGATACATTAAAAAAAGCCATTATTTTAGCATGTAGTACCTGAACGATTTTGAGAAAAAAACTGAATTGCAATTTTTCGATTTCACCCACGATTTTTTTCAAATCAAGTTTCAGTGCACATGAACATTTGCAAACATCACAGAAAATTACATCATACCAGAGTCTGGTACCTGCGGGTGCCTGGTGTGACTACTACTGTCAAAAATCCGTCATCACTTCAGACATTATTTATTGAGCAGAAGAAATGTATTTATTTATTTATTGCTCATGCTGTTATTTTGTTGGCATCAACTTGGAGAACAACAACAACAAAAAAATCTGAAAATGTACATAAATGCATGTTTCTATGATTATTTGCCTTGTTTTTGCTGCATGAACAACAGGAGATAAATCTTTTAAACCCTTGTCCTTTCACAGATCAAAAAAAGTTACATTTTTTGATTGATGTGGACTGAACCAGGACTAAAACAGGACTGAAACAGGACTGAAACAGGACTGAAACAGGACTGAAACAGGACTGAAACAGGACTGAAACAGGACTGAACCAGGACTGAACCAGGACTGAACCAGGACTGAATTAGGAATATATCAAGTCTAAACCAGGCCTTCGATTAATTATTAACATTTATATTAAAATTATCATCATTATTATTACTATTACTAATCTGCAAAAATAAACTCAACTTTACAACAGCTTTGTGCACATTTGTTTACGTTTTACAGAAACAAAACTTAAAATCACATGGCTAATTTGCACACAAAAAAAACACCTCTTTCCTTGTGCGCTGTGGTCAGCTTCTGTCGTACTAAAATGCAAGACTTAGTGAAATATAGGTGTTCTTTCTGTGACAGAGAATGCTGATGATGCATACATGTGTGAAACAGTTGACGAAACAAAACCTGGGTCAGTTAAGAGCACTGCAAAAAAAAAACAGAGATTGTGATTTTCAGTTCAAAATGATAGATCGTTCAGCCCTGGCATGTAGTTTAAAAATAATAAACTCCGGCTCAGCTAACTATCAGAAGAAAAAGCAGATCATTAAACCAAATGTATCTGAAATTAACTGTATTCTTTCTGTCTTTTTCTTGCCATTGTAGCTGCCCCGGTGTGGGTGAGGCGGCCCCAGGACAGTCAGTTTGAGGAGGGTAAACCCGGGTACCTGCACTGCCACGCTCAGGCTACTCCAGAGCCAGAGGTCGTGTGGCTCCGAAACGGCCAGCTTATCTCTCAGGAGGTCAGATACACTCACGTCATATTATTATACTTTAGAGCAAATGTGACTCAATCAACAATGAAAAGCACTGAGTATTTCCATTACTGAATATGTAACTCTATATTAAAGCACATTGATGTTTTTCCCCATTCATCTATCATGTATACATCAAGAATGACACTTTTAGTTACAGGGTTAGATCTTTTTTATGCCACCCCATATTGTGATAAATAAAAAATGTGATCCAACTTCTTCATACATTTTTAATTAGTCAACACGTGTCAAAAATCATGAAGCTTTTGGAAAATTTGATCAATTCTGCTATTTTGGCAGCCCTGTTAATGTTTTAGTTTGTTACGATTTAAAATTTATAATGGAAATTGCGAATAATAATTTGAATCGTAACTTTTGTCTTTGGTGAGGATCCAAATAAGTCGACAATAAACAATAATAGTAGCAAGAAGTCTTTGTTGTTGCTTCCTCTTTGCATTCTCCATAGAAATGTAGTCTTAAATGGTTCAAAATTCTGCATTTAAATGGTGAGTTTATGTAAAAGTGTGAATTAGTAGTTTTGTTTTTTCTTTTTTTAGGGCAATCGTTTCAAGTTGTTTCCCAATGGCACCTTGAGGATCAACAGTGTGGAGGTGTACGATGGGCAGATGTACGGCTGTGAGGCCAAGACTGTGGGAGGGAGGCTGTCTGGGCAGGCGCGCGTCATTGTACTCGGTAAGACAGGGCTTGTTTTTCTCAGAAACATCTGATAACATGTAAGAATCTACAATAACTATAAAGGATTATCCCAAACGTTTTGAAGAACAACATCTGCATTTGGTTATTAAGTGAAAGTCTTATTTATTATTAACTTTTGAAAGTCCTGAAACAGTTCATTATTAAACTGACCACCAACAGTGAAACAGACTTTAATATTAACTATGTGAAGGACTTGAACTACAACTCTCCTCCAGTGGTGTTATGTATTTATGTATTAAATGTGCACAGTGCATATTTCTAAAAATGGTAATAATGCCAATATATGCTCCATTGTTTGAGAACCACTGTGCTAGATATAATTACTAGAAAACGGTAAAGATTTTAGATTTCTTACACCAAACAGGCATAGTGAGAGCAAAGTGTATATTAGCTTTTCAGTGGGGAGTTATCGCAGAGATGAGAGATGCACATGTGGCTGTGCCTGTGGGCTTGTGTGGGCGTGACTCTGCTCTTCCTAAAATAGGACCTAGAAATCATCCAGGACACCCACAGAGGTGTGAATTTGATTTATATACAGCGGCTTTATAGAAAGCTCAACACCTGAATATGTTATCTGTACAGTAAACGCTTATCTTTGACCTGAAGAGAGATTTCTGACATACCATAGTTGTCTCCACAGCTTTTGTTTATGTGATTGTAAACTGTGATAGAGGCCTGTATTTTATATGTCTCAACTTGATTTTCACTGACACAATGAAGACATGAAGAGGGGCTATAGACGTATTTTACACTATAGGAATCTTTTGCAGTCCATGTTTTTCAGTAGCGTTAGTTCCTTATCTTATTAAATATTTAATGACCATGATCATTTTTAAAAACACTCACAAAGGTAGCACTAAACCTGGACAAAATATGCACTATATTGGGATTAAAATAGGACTAACAGTTTCAAATTAGAACCAAGTCAAGACTCATTACAGAGTTCAATGAATCAAAAATTGAGCTGAGTATTGAATATTGTTAAAATGCTGATTTTTGTTGTAATACAGCGAGGTCTTGGGTTTTGTCACTGATAGACCAATCGAAATGATCAGGCTCAACTGTTGTGAATTTACTTTTTGGATATTTCATGGCTAAGTACAATGTAATCAGCTGGTTTCACTTCATGGAAACCATCTGACCTCGCAGCATTAGAATTCGTTCGCTCAGCGGTAGGCAGGTACCTTTTTTTAAATTTAACCAATCACTGCTATGTGGTCATGACGTATGTAATGTGCTGCTAATGGGGCTAACTGGTATATTAAGCTTTTCCCAAATCCTATAGGAAGGAGGACAATAATGTCGTTCCCCTTTATAAAATTCACCAACATTCTCTTTGTTCCGGCTTTAAATTCTTGATCTCGGGAATCATTGCCAACACAGAATGTATGGCTCTTTGCTGTTTGGCTGGTGCCCAGACTTGCATTTCCGGGGTTTTTGCGAATTGTCTAGTGTATTCCGATTTCTGACCTAGTCACTGGAGAGAAATGAAATTGAGCAGAGTGACTAGGTGGAGCCTGTATAAACTGAGACTATAACATCATCACTTTCAAATCTCTGAGAACTAACATTTGCTTCAATTCGACTTCCCTGGTTGTGTTTTTGTGAGTAAAATTTTGTTTATGCTGTATTTAAGACACTGTTTATTAAATGTCGTCATATAAAAATGTTTTAACTCTATTTGACCCTGGCCTTGAAAATAATGAGTGAGTTGCATTTGTGTTACAGAGAAGCTGAAGTTCACCCCGACTCCTCAGGCTGTTCAGTGTCTGGAGCTGGACAAAGAGATGAGCATCACGTGTTCAGCCACAGGGAGAGAAAACCCCACAATCCGCTGGACCAAAGCAGGTCTGTACACAACTGCTGCCCTCTGGACTGTGTGGAGCAGGCTGCAATATATTTAATTACTTTAATGGAATTTACTGTTTTGATTGCTGCCACTTTCATTTTTTGAGATTTCTGCAATAACCTGATTTGCTGTTGTTAGATTATTATTATTGACTTGTCATCCTCGAATACAGTGTTTGCAAACTTTTTTTTCTGGTGACCCATATTTTAAAAATCACAAACCTTCATGACCCAAGTCAATAGACATTATTCGTAAATCACAAAATAACGGTGGATTTGACCATTATTGAACATTAATGAGGATATTTTATTGTTGACTGAGTGATCGTGTCTTTCTGAACAATTACTATTAGTCAAGTTTAAACAATGAAAAACAGGAATTGAACCAACAATAAAAGGATCCATAAGTCACCTATTTGGACATTAAATGCAGTCCATTTCTTTTTCGTTTCAACATTTAATTGAACCAGCAATACTGGAACAAAATTAAACTTATATTGAAGACCTACATGCAGATCGTGACCCAAAAAAATCTCTTTGGGAAGTCTTTGGGAAACAATGCTCTAGTAATTCCATCTACTCTAAGAATGTAGATGAACATAAAATTATATAAAGTTATTTTACAGTATATACTACATCCAATCTTTATATCAGCAAGCAGTTTTATTATTAACTTCAGCTGTTGTGCTCAGTTCTTGGATAGCACCTGTTACTTACTTGATCTAACTCTAGAAGACCCTTGAAGCACTCACCACTTCTACTTTTAGTGCAAAAATTGAAGTCCAAATGTTTTCAAATTGACCTTTAAACTAATATCCTCTATTATTTGAATTATAACATGGTAAAAGAGCATTTTACAACATGACTTTTACATCTCTGACACAATTCCTCTTTGCCTACATTTGGTTTCATTTCTTAAGGTCAGTAACGGCACACAGAACAGTGCATCTGCGAGCCTTACCATACCTTTACAGAGATGAGCTTGTTCAAACCTGTTCTGTCCAAAACAGAGATGACTTAAATCAGATAAAGTGAAGTTGGAGGTTTCTGTTGGCACCCCTCTGTCCTGTTCCTAATGATGACAAATTCTGTTTTTGTAAAAAGGAGATGCAGAAACGTGCTCTGGGTGTGGGGGAGATTCATCATTTGTCTCAACGATCAACGCAGTGCCTTGACCTTTACTGCCTATTGTCTTTATTCAAACATTTGTATATATTGGAACTGTATTATACTAAAAACACCCATAATGCAGCTAATATTAAAAAGTAGGATTAATTTTTCTTGACATATTAATCAGTTTTAATAACCTGAAACATAAACACAAGTCTATTTACTAGTCAAATTACAGTTGCACTTGGACCTAAACAGCAACCCACCGATTAAATATAACCTATTTTCTTATGAGGTGTATCTTTTTTTCTTACAAGGCTGTACTAATGTACAGCTCTAGTAGAGTAAGCACTGTAATAACATCTTCAGCAATTTGTATGAGCGAATTGGCACTTATTAGTCTGCTTTGTTGATTGGATTTTGAAATAGTGATGCATTTGTAAAATAAATATTTGTGTGTTGTAGATGGAGGAGAGCTGCCCCCTCATGTGAAGCAAAAGAACGGACAGCTTCATTTTACCAAAGTGAGCCGTAGCGACGCCGGAAACTACACCTGCATCGCCTCCAACCACCTGCAGGGGGAGATACGAGCTCTGGTCTCCCTCACTGTGGCAGGTAAGACCGAGGCATTGCTTTTATTACCACATTTTCCACTGAGGTCAAAGCTTAAAACATAGCTACTCCTAACCTACTTTATTTTCAAACCAATCTTGTATCCTAAACCACATTTTTTATTTTTGAAAAGGAAAACAATTTTGCTATAACCTCACTGAATCAAACAATGAAAGAAAGCATAAAAGTCATTTATTTTAGTGGTCACTAATAAATAGAGAATATATCAGTATTTTTCCGTTCTTTATTGTCTTCTAATAAATTTGCCATTAAAAAAAGTAAAGCTGTATTAAGATTAGAATACATTTTTTAATTTTTTTTATTAGTATTGTACAGTATTAATCCTCTTGTGCGTGTGTCTGAATTCACAGTGTACATTAGGTTTAAAGTGGAGCCAGATAACACCACAGTTTATCAGGGCCACACAGCCATTCTCCACTGTCAGGCTGCAGGAGACCCAGAGCCCTACATCCACTGGGTCGTCAAAGATAAACCTCTGGACATGTCTAAAAGCAGAAGGTAAATTATTTTAATTCAGCATTTTCAATTTGCTTTTGTTTTACAGAATCTGATGTGTTTAATGTTGAGCATTTTTGTTTTCTCTATTATTCATATTATTACTCTGGTTATTCTGAAATTACTGTTTAAGCAGAAACTATCTAGATTCTGTCATTCATATTTCACATTTAGTCCTCTCTCAAATGTTATTGCTTTGTTGTTGCACTCTGAACATAATCATACTTTTTAAACTTAAATTGCAAAAAAATTTAATTGATTTTTTTCTTTTGTTTCCCCCAAAATCGTGCAGCTTTAATCTAATATTTAGTCAGTACAAAGCACTGGATTAAACCCTGATTGTTTTGTTTTTGTTCAGGCTTCAGAAGATGCCCAATGGCTCCCTGCTGATCACAGATGTGAGTGCAGAGGACACTGGGAGATACACGTGCGTGGCTGGAAACAGCTGCAATATCAAAGGACTCGTGGCTCAGCTCTATGTCGTGGGTGAGTTTGAAGTGTTCTACAATGAACTCTTTCACCAGTGGAAAAAAGCAGCTCTCTCATTCTGTCAAATTTAGCTTTAAGGAGGCCCAAAGTGTTAATTACACTGCCTTAGCTTTTACTTGTCAGTTTGGACAGGTTAATGAACATCAAAGACTGCGGCCCTGTCAGAGGAAGATCAGAGTGGACACGTGGGCTTTCATAACTGCACACTGAGGCTCTTTGTACGGTGTTTGTAACTGTAATATTGTGAAGTGGGTGTGAAGAGTGGCGAGAGACATTCAAGTGGTCAGAACCAAGAATTGAAACCCTGGTAATAATAAAAGTTCACTTAAGGTTCACTCTCTAGGTAATTGGAAATCTGCCCACCCATTCAAGTCTTCAATCTGTATGCATCTCCCTTCATAGTAGCCTACAGCATACAGCATGCAAAGTTAGTTTCTAAGACCAGTGCAAGTATTTTACATGGCATAAAATGTTTCTATCTCCATGGAAACAAGCAGGTGATGCCACTTGGTAAACTCAATGGAGAGGCGAACCCATACTTTGTACAAATACATCTTTTAGCATTAAAACCCCTGTAATTGAATAAATGCAAGACAGCTAAGGGCCTGTTTACACAAGCAAATGACAAAATATTTTATCGGAAGTGCCTTTCGTTTAGACGGTGACAGCGTTTTTAGGGCTTAAAAATGCAAAAATCTGAAACCACCCTCCAGAGTGGAAAAGTTGAATACACTCCGCCATAGCATTTCTGTCTATACTGCCTGCGACGCAAAACTCTGATGAGATCTGCCCACATCACGTACATGTTTACGACACATACATCACAATCTAGCATGCATACCCAATCGAATTTCACACACTTTTGCGTCACCGTATGCACGCAGATTTCCTCCCGAAAATGCTCCTCTAAACACGGAATAAAAAGTGAAGACGCGAGGCCACTTTTGCGTCTTCTGTTCAGACCGTCATCATATAAACGTAGCTTTAGTTTTGAGCTTCCAACTTCTGTTTTGGACCCCCTGATTTTGTATATTTATAATTAGTCTATGTTCTCTATCAAGTATGTATTGCTCATCGTGACCTATAATGTCTTTTCCTGACAGACAAACCAACGATCAAAGATATTGAAGATGAGAAGGCGCCTTATAAAATGATCCAGACTATCGGCCTGTCTGTGGGGGCCGCTGTGGCGTACATCATCGTTGTCCTGGGACTCATGTTTTACTGCAAAAAGAGGCGCAGCGCCAAAAGACTCCAGAAGGGTGGCGACGGAGAGGAGCCAGAGATGGAGTGCCTCAACGGTATGTTTATAGGTTAACAGGACCGAATGTGTGTCAAGAGTTCATATGGTAAGCTGGTATGAGCATGTGTAATGTTTGAATAACTCTGCTGCCATCTAGTGTTCATCTTATGTACTGAACTGGAGTTATTGTATTGTTGGGGTAAGTCCCAGCTATTCTTGGGTTTCAGCTGACTGTTACGTCTGACATTTTTAGGATTTTTTTCCCCATTCAAATGGTGTAAAAAAAAAAAAAAAACTGGTTTTCGCTACAGCAATGTTGCAAATTTGTCCTCTTTCTGAAACATATAAACAGACAGAATTTTTGTGTATACATTCAAAGTAATACATAAAACTTAGATTTTCAATTTACCTACCAAAATTCAGCAGGCTAGAACTGGGCCTGGGGTTAAGTTGAATTTACTAATAATGTAAAAATGCAGATTTACACCTTCTCCATCAAAACTCATGCCTTTTAAATAACTGTAATGCGCCCCACCTTTTTAAATTTGTAAATCTGTTTGCCATTTCCTTTAAATAAGACCATCATAAACAATTGTACAATCTAAATAAATTGACTGAAAGTGTGTGTACTGTGTGCAGGAGGGTCAGTGCAGCACAATGGGCACACCACAGCAGAGATCCAGGAGGAGGTGGCTCTGACAAACATGGGGACTCTGGCCACGACAGAGAAACGCCACAGTCACATCAACAACGACAAACTGCACTTCCCCAGAGCCAATCTGCAGACCATCACCACTTTAGGTAAGAATACAGCAAAATGATCTACAATCCAATGAACAACAAAGCAAAAAAAATATTTCAAGCTTAATATTTATGCAAATTCAAGTAGTGTTTACGTTTGATATAAAATGTGGCCCATATAGGTATAGTATAATAGTATAATAATATATAATAGTATAATATGAAAGAATATTTAGACATTTAGTTGAAATCTGTGCATTATTTACAAAAATAATCTTGAGAATTTTAGAAGAAAAAGTCCTAAACCTTAAACCAAAATGTAAAGTGCTTTATATTTTGAGCTTTATGAATCATTTTCTTCAAATTTAGATTTTTCATTCATCCCAAAATCACAACAACAGTTCAATTTCAGGGCTCCACAAAGCTACTCACAAACATTGGGACTGTAGCATTAAGACATTAGCAATAAAGAATTGACTGTTGTTAGGTCAGTGTGTTCAAAATGTGAGTAATCTTAACGCTAACATTTGATATTGTCCTTCCCTTTTTGCAGGCAAAGGTGAGTTTGGCGAGGTGCTTCTGTCCAAGGCCAAAGGCATCGTGGACGGTGAGGAGGAGACGGTGGTCCTGGTGAAGAGTCTTCAGAGCCGGGACGAGGCGCTGCAGCAGGATTTCCGTCGAGAAGCGGAAATGTTCGGAAAACTCAGTCACCCCAACGTTGTCCGTCTCCTCGGGCTGTGCAAGGAGACGGAGCCTCACTACATGATCCTGGAGTACTATGATCTGGTAACGGCATTTTTACACTGCAATAATTAATATAAAAAGAGGTGAGGTGTAAAATTTAAAGACATATTAAGGTGTACCATGCAACTTTTCTAGTGGAGGACCTGCCACATGCTTTGCCTAGAATGATCCATAGTATTGCATTTAACATCATTTATATTGCATTTATTTAACTACACTTTTTTGTTGCTTAAATGCTGGAATGCCTCTCAACAGATATGACCTGTAATTTGACCTGGTCCCATCACCTGCTTCTGTTTTCATGCAGACACATGTTTAAAACCATTCTAGGTGAAGCAATTAAATCTTGATGGAGACCAGCAAATGGCAGACCCTTCATAAGAAAAGTTACACAGTGCACCTTTAACTATAAACCAGAGAAGGGGACTTGCAAGTCATGACTTGGACTCGAGTCAGACTTGAGACTTGTCTTGATAAAATGGACTAAGACTTGGGACTCAACTTGGACTTGAAGGTCAATGACTTGGGGACTTGACTCGGACTTGAGGCCTGTGACTTGAGAAGACTTGAGAAGCACTTTTAAATCTGAATTTGTTCTATTCTGACAGTAATGATTCACACTAAGATCTTATCAATCTTATATACTCTATAAATACTTAAATATAAATATACTATGATTTTTTTAAGTACAATTTATCTTAAAAGTCATATAATTTGCAAAAATCTTTGGTGTAAAGACTTGAAATGACTTGAATCTCAAAGCAGACAACTTGGATTTGACTTAGATTTATAAGCCAGTGACTCGAGACTCAACTTGGACTTACCTGTATTTGACTCAGGACTTGACTCGGCCTTGAGGTCAAAGACTTGAGACTTACTTGAGACTTGCAAAACGACGACTTGGTCCCACCTTTGGTATAAACTATGAGCTATACATTGAACATTTAATCTATTTTAGCTGTAATACAAAATCAGAGAGTTAAAGGTTTACCATAACAATAATAATCTGCATTTTGGACCAGTTTTGTGTTTTTGTATTTAAATTTGTACATTTCAGCACCTAACGTTTTTTTTTTTATTGTTTTACCATATTGAATAAAAGAGAGTTGCATTCTTATTTTTTCAGTCGCTCAGTCATATTATAATCATGAGCTGATTTGAAACTTCTTGTATTTTAGGGAGATCTCAAGCAGTACCTCAGAATCTCAAAGAGCAAAGACGACAAGGTTAAAACTCAACCTCTCAGCACCAAGACCAAAGTAAGTATAAAGTCTACGGCAGGTCATGGAGTCCCAGACACACTCACCTCATTCACACTGGATACAAATGGGCTATTCTGAAACTGATGAATGTGACATAGTAAAATACAGGGTGTTCTCAATCAAGCAGCGCAGTGACATAGTGCTTTGAATAGCTCATCATTGATATTTTTCTTCTTATTTGAGATTTTAGTCACGTTGCATTCATTCATTGTCCATTCATTCTACAAGGTCTTTGCTCTGAGTGGGACAAAGATAAATTACCTCTCAAAAATTTACCTCAAACTGCTAATTGCTCACAGCTCTTCTTGGTATGTGGCTGCCATTCCCTCCACGTTCACACTGCCTTCTGTGTTTTGAGTGAAAGACCCTTAAGACATTGACTGCTTTGTGGGTTTTTCCAATATTTTTTCTATATAGCTGTGATTGGCTTGACTGTCAAACGTGTTTTTATAATCTTATGTTTTTTTTCCCCGACAGGTTTCCATCTGTGCCCAGGTGGCTCACGGCATGGAGCACCTGTCCAATCACCGCTTCGTGCACAAAGACCTGGCCGCTCGAAACTGCCTCATCAACAGCCAGCGCCGCGTCAAAGTGTCTGCGCTCAGCCTCAGCAAAGACGTCTACAACAGGTACATGCACTTCAGAAACAGAACGTTTATTAATAACCAAGCAATCATACACTACTTTTAGATAAACTAACATTGTTTCTGTCAGTGCCTTGAGTATGATGAAATGTTCCAGTCCAATCCACTTTATTTATATAGCACAGTCACAAATAGTTTCCAAAGTGCTGCACAAATAGATAATAACAACAATGATGCAATGATAAAATAATCCCTCAGATTTAATCATACTAGTTTTAAAATAATAAAACAAGTAAAATAAAATAAGAGCAAAATCACAGAATAGCAATAAATAAATAAAACCATTAGGGATGTAACAATAACCGAAATATCATGATATTGTATCGCCAGAGTTCTCACAATAATATCGTGGACCATCACAGTGTATCGAATTACAAGTCTCTTTGCTTAAATTAAGAGTTATGGTGTAGCAATAGACCAGTAGCAAAAGAAAGAGGGAACTACATAGGCCATGATCCTTTGCTCCATTTCAGTGTGGACTACATGAAGAAATAACATGAGCTTTCCCACAATATCTCAATAAATATCGTACTGTGAGTTTTATACTGTGACGATATCATATTGTGAGACTTGGATAGGGGTACACCTCTAAAAACCAGTAAAATACATAAAAAATAAATAAAAGACACAGAGGACCACACAACTCACACTGTGTTAAAAGGCACAGAATAAAAGTGGATTTTAAGACGAGACTTAAAACACTCTGTACTGCACTGTGGGTGCTGTTTGGACGTAGAGGGCAGAGTGTTCCAGAGTTTGGGGCCAGCCACAGAGAAGGCCCTGTTTAAGTCTCATTTTAGGCACCATGAGCTGGAGCTGGAGCTGGAGCTGGCCCTCGGACCTCAGAGCACATGTGGGGGTGTAAATCTGGATGAGGTCCAAGACGTATTGTGGGGCCTGTCCATTCAAAGCTTTAAAAACAAACTATAAAATCTTAAAATCAGCTATAAAATTAACAGGAAGCCAGTGCAAAGACGCAAGGATTGGGGTAATGTGCTCTCTCAGTAATATTTGCAACCATACCACCTCAGAAAACCTAATATAGTCTGATCTCTGATTGGGCCTGAATTTAACACCACCAGGAGTACGAGATGCCACAATGGGGCAGCACCGTACCGCAGAATGTGAACTGAATGAATAATGCACAACAAGTTTAACAATTTTGAGTATCTGAAAGGTATTATGTAGGACTAGTCATACTATAAATATCGTTCCAAGTACCAAATTATTATGAGCAGACGTGTAACTTGGCATAGGTTTTTTGTTTCTTTTTTTACAAGCAGTTCAGACATTACACACTTCTGAATATTTGTTATGTTATTTTACACTATATAACTCAATATTTTGATGGCAGTTTTGTTTTTGAAAGCTCCCTTGTTCTTGTAAATAGTTAAGTTTTTCTTTTCCTTCTTTTTTTTTTGTTATGTCCCAAAATTGGAAAGATCACATTTGAACTGGAAATCTGTAATAAGTCAATTTGCTCTTTCCAAATAAAAAAATGGAAAGAAAAAAGGCTTTACACACTTCTACTATTACAACTAAAGTCTGAAAACAATAAGAATGCTGTTCATCTTAAATAACCTGCCCACTTTGTCTGTGTTGTTTTGCAGTGAGTACTATCACTACAGACAGGCGTGGATCCCCCTGAGATGGCTGCCCTCAGAATCTGTGTTCGAGGATGATTTCTCCACTAAGTCGGACGTGTGGGCTTTCGGGGTGCTCATGTGGGAGGTGTTCACTCTCGGGGAAATGCCACACACCAAACTCAGCGACGATGAGGTGCTCGAAGGTCAGTATCAGGAGTCAGAACTTGCATCGCACTATAATCTATAAACACATTTTTTATGCATCAAGTCCATGTTGTGCTGAGAGTTTTTATTCTTTTCACTTGAAGTTGTAACCGCACTACAAATCACCAATATTTTTCTTGGCTACGTGTATGATGCATTGAACCTGCGCTTGCCTCATAAATACTGTGTTAGATAAGTTTTGAAATAATTACGTAAGAGAACCTTTCTCTCAGAAAGTTGTAATTTACATGTTGCAATGCAAGTAGCGTACAAAGTAAGAAGTTGCCAATTGAATTTGTACCAGAGCGGTCTGTGCAATCGTTCATATTTTTAAATCAAACTGAGATCCAATAGTTTCAAATCTCAGTGATTTGCGAGGGGCTTTTTATCGAGAGGTCCACAGCGAATACTTTGTTAGTAATAGAATGTGGTTTTTGGCTTCAGGCTTTGGAAGAATAAATTGGAATTTTTTTCTTGTGTTAAATGTTACAGAAAGAAAGCCTGTCTTGTTCAATATTTTATTGATTTTATTTAGACAAAAATCAATATGTAGAAACAAAATAACTCACTGCCATATAACTCAGCCTCAGATAAAGAGTTTGCTTGCAGAGTGAATAATCCCCATTGCACTCATTTAGTAGGGCTGGGTATCATTAAGAAATTGCCGATACGATACATACATCGATACCTAGACCACGATACAATACATACCTCGATACACTGAGCTTTTGATTCGATACATTATATTTCAAACCGTTCGATACGGTTCAATAAAAAATAATGGCTAAATCATGGCTGTGATACTAAAAGTCTCTGTTAAACCATTTATTAAATCATCTTGTGCGAAGTAAACATGAAACACAAACATTTTAATCATCAAAACAGTGAAAATGTCAAATGTGTTGCATAAAAAAATTTCCAAGTAACAAAATTGTAGACCTGTAACAAAATAATTTAGTAAAATATACCAAAAAAATATTCTTGGTGATATATCAATACAGCAGTCCACGATATCGATCATCACATTAAACAATACGATATATTGATATTTCGATATTTTTGCACACCCCTAGTGAGTATTACCAAAATGTATCTTTTTTTTTCGCTTTTTAGATTTGAAGTCTGGAAAGCTGAAGCTGCCCGTCCCCGATGGCTGTCCATCCAGAATCTACAAACTCATGTTGCGCTGCTGGGCCCCGAGCCTCAAAGAGCGCCCCTCCTTCACCGACATTGTCCACACTTTGGGAGACATACCCTCTGACAGCAAAGTCTGATCTACCAACTCCTCTGTCCCCTCAAATATATATTAAAACAGACTTATGCTGGATTATTATTACTATACACATTTCAGGGAAGCTGGTTGAGGAGAGGACACTTTTTATATGCATTTCAACGGTGAGACTTTGCCTTAACCACAGCATGGATGACCCTATTTAAGTCTGTGGTATTTCTGATCCTGCCTGCCTCCTTTACTTCGTCCCATTGACAATAATTTGCATCGTTGGAGCCTCGCAACCTCTGTGCCTACCCCTCAACACACAAAAGACCTATGGCTATCACCGACCAGTTTTACATGGTCTTAAGCCTATCAAATAAGGACATATTTACTCACATTCAATGGAAAAGGTGCTTTTTTAGTGACTTCGATGAAGCCCTATCAAATCAATCACGTCGGAGCATCTCTTCATCTCACTACGTTCAATATCTGCATCGTGGGACCAAGCATGTCTCTCCAAAGTTTTGATTTCTGTGCCACCAAATGTTACAAATGTAAAAGTGTAGGGGTTTGCTCAAAAGTGAGGTGTTTTTTTTTTTTTGGAATGTTACATTATCTCATGAGGGACAAAAAAAGATCATCAAGTCTGTAGCCAAGAAAAGAGGCTGTGCCAGAATGGGCTTTGTATAATTTTGACGAGTGTGTTGTTGTATTAACCGAGGTGCTTTTAAGGCGCTAAATGTAAATGGGTACAAATGCCCAAAAATTCACAAATGTTTGAGTGGAGTCCAAAACTACTTCCCATTGTCACTTTGTAAAGCTAAAATATCACTGTCAAGATGTCAAGTTTAATATAGTAATGTAGTAAATCTTTTTTTAATTCAATGTGTAAAGAAAGCCAACAAATTTTTAAATGAAGTGTCTTAATTTGTTTACTGAACTCATCATCTTTGTGCTTTATCAAGATTTGCAGAAAACAAATTTGGCCTTTATAAATGTAAAAATCATTGATATATTTAACATGAACTATACTTTTTCATTAAAATAGATGAAATTATAGCTTGAAATTATGGTTTGGTGAGAACAAAGTGAATTGTAAAACTAATTTATCACAGTATTGCTTTGTTAAATTATGAAAATACTATAAAATGTAAGCATAAAAACTATATTGGAAGTGGTTTTGGACTTTTTATTTGTCATAAATGGGCTGAAGCCTATCACTGCGTGTGTTAAACATACAATAATGTCTTCTCGAGTGGTCCAGTCAGTTTTATTTTGGTCAGTGAGGCAATGTGTACATATATACTATAGAAGCCATGCACTAATTTCACTTAAATATCCCTTTTTATCACGTAGAAGGAATTGACAAGAACCTAAATATTTATGAAGAAGGTCCTGTCTTTTTAGCTAATACAAATTCATGGTACTTCTGGGGCTGTGTGCTTTTCTATGAACCACCTCAAATGTCCAATCATCAATCCAAACAATATGTAAAAATATAAAGGAGGTCAAAAGTGTCTCTGAAGTGCCTAGGAAATGAAGGATTTTCCCTTTTTTACGTGTATCTAATCAAATGCAATGGCCTTTTGTTTTTTCAACTTGTTTTTATACGTTGTTTTTAGTGTAATGTTTTTTTGAGTTTTTTTTACAAACGCTAGGCACTCACACCTAGACCTCTTTTTTAATCCGCTTCAGCAAATGTTCTCAGTAACCTGATATATTCAAAAGTATACATGCTGCTGTCAATAAAGGATCACAGTGTTTTTACAATGTGTGTCATTTAATAATTGAAATTACTTAAAAACTAGAATGCAATAATCTTGTCTCTTACATCAAACTAACTTTGTTATCTTTGTTTCAGTATCTTCATGAATCACAGGGCTTCTTTTAAACAGTGTAGCATTCTTACTCATATATTCACTATCACTCTTCTATATGTCCAAACTTAATATGAAGCTCATCACTGACTGTCTGCTCCGTTTCTAAGAGTAAACTTTTCAAAGGAGTTCAAAGGCGAAGGTGGTTTATAACATTTTAGAAATAGATTTTAAATAAAATCATTGGTCTTGTGGTCACGAGTTACAGATTAACCCTGTGCAAGCTTTCAAGGAATAATATTTCCATATTTTCCAGTATAATATTATAATAAAAATAAATGAGAAATTTTGTTGCAGAACTGGTGGGTAGGTGGTCACTGTTGAGCTCCATTGACATGGCATGTTTCTTATTCATTTCAGGTAAATACAATACCTTTACATAATCAAACAAGAACCATATACAAAATAACTTTTTACTATTTTGAAACTAGGAAAAGGCTTGTGTTTTGATGCCACAATGGTGCTATTTTTTCAAGATTATAGAATGTAATTCTCACCAATGATATTACCTTGTCTCTGCCCTAGTGTTCATATAGATAAAAAACATAGATGGGTATTATCACAAAGTATTTACTTTTGATATTTCTCATAAAATTTTGACCACAAAACATTTTAAACAAATTCCTGTTCATAACTACCTAAATAGTCTTGTTGTTATTCCCAGAAAGAACATCAAAATTGGACTGACGGCTCATGTATTTGAGTGGACCAGTAAGTTGGCAAGTTGATTCCAGCTTCAGTGAGTGCACGCTGTCATCAGGGAAGTCACTGCAAAGACTGGTGCAAATGAATGACTGAAGTATCAATATTGAATAATTATTAAATAATATCAATATTGGCTTACTATATATTAGGTAAATACATCCCAACTGTACCATCTTTTAAAAGAATCCAAGTAGTTTTTGCACAAAACTAAATTGATGCTTTTGGATTGCCTCACTGCCTGGAAACTTGTCAGGCTTGTAATGCACAGCACACAAATCATTATCTTCAGGTTTGCCTTCTCGACTTACCTATAGTGACTCACATTTCATGTCTGACCTGCTTTTAGTCTGTGCCACCATTCAAAGGATATAATTAGTTATGGGTAATCATAAAGAAAAACAGTGTTCAAAAACTCTCATGTCTCACTCATCATGTTCGATGCTGTTTTTCATCTACACATTCAATGCAATCAAATATTTTCTCTTAACAAACAACTTGCATTGAGGTGGCCTTCCACTAGAGGGCGCAGTTGCTTTATATGTCTTGGGTACTTTGGCTGAAAAGTTATCAGTTGATTTATTTGGCCACGGTACATATTTCTATCAAACGTCTAGAGCTGTTGGCAACCCACCAGAGTATAATTTGATACAAAGCACTATATTTACTTTAGTCTGCGTGGTGTGCCAACAAACCCAGACTTGTCTTCCCTTGTGTTCCTGTAAAACTTATGAAAATTCCCTATTGCCACACAGACCAAAACAGGACACATTATCGCACATATTTATGGTACCATTCATACCAGTGACAATAATTAGGCTATGTGTGTTACGTTTAACCTGTAAGTGATTCAACTCTAGGCCTAATGTTTATTGAAAACTGAACCTCAACACAGCATGTAGCCTCCAATTATAATGTATAATGTGGCTTGACCTGATTGTAATGTTTTGGTGCTTTTGTGGTGGAATGACTTGCAGAGCTGTGATTTTGCAGCGGATATGACTCAGATTTATTGCATACAAGTAAAATGGTGCTATAAGAAATTACGGTAAATTAATTACAGTCAGGGACCAATCCCGTAGCAGCTTGGTTGAATATGATTTGTTTTGTTGGTCGCTCATCACTGTTAGTAAGGTATACAGTTGACAAAAATTACCTTTGTGAGCTTTAAGCCATGTCATAGTGCTGTTATCTAATCAAAACAGACCTGGAATTGTGTTTTGTTCATTCATATATGCTTAAGTAAACCTTTATTATTAGTCTGTCAACATACCGCTCAGATCCACTGACCCACAGGTTGGCTGGTGTGATTCCAGCTGCCACAGATGAATGCTGTTGTTGTGTCCTTGGGCAAGACACTTAACCCACCTTGCCCCCAGTGTCTACATACACTGGTGTGTGAATGTGTGTGTGAATGGGAGAGTGGTTCCTTGTTGTAAAGCGCTTTGAGTGCCTTGAAGGTAGAAAAGCGCTATAGCAAAATGTGACCATTTACCAGCATGCTCTGTCCCACCTTGTGATGTTATGTAGTGGTAGTTTCCAAGTTAGTTCAGTAGAGATTGGTAATTCCAGATCTGAAATTATCCAAATGATTCTAGTGAAGGTGTGTGGAGTTTAAAAACACAGTGGATCACTTCCTGTATTATCACACAACATCACAACTTAGAGCATAATCTTTTCAGTTTGAGAGAAGAAAACACCCTAAATCTGCAGAGTTTGTGTGTTAAACATGTGAATGAAACAAAACACAGCTCCAGGCATGTTTGTGATGAGGAAACAACATTATAACATAGATCAGAAAATAGTGTAATGTCAGCCCTTTAAAACATGTATATTTTGCTTTGTCAGTAAGAACTATAGATATATAGCCTATGCCAATGTTTACATAAAGGCTTTTGTGGTTAAATGTAACATAATGTCTTACTTAGTTCTAAAAGTAAATAGTGCTTTTAGAAGTTACTTTTGGAACATAGAAATGGAAACAAAGTCAGAGAGTAGTTCCATATGAGTTTGATTGAATTAGCCTATATGATTTGGTTGGCCTGTGTTGGTATCAGAGGTGGGACTTGCAAGTCATGACTTGGACTCAAGTCAGATTTGAGTCACTATTATTAGACTTGAGACTTCACTTGATAAAATGGACTAAGCCTTGGGACTCGATTTGGACTTGAAGGTCAATGATTTGGGTCTTAACTTGGACGTGAGGCCTGTGACTTGAGAAGACTTGAGAAGCACTTATAAATCTAAATTCTTTCCATTCTGACTGTAATGATTCACATGAAGATCTTGCTGCGACATTTAAAAAGAAAAGATTTACATTTCTACAACTCTTATATACTCTATAAATAATCATATATAAATATACAATGTTTTTTAAAGTACAATTTAGTTTAAAATTCATATACTGTAAATTGCAAAAATCAAAGCAATATTTGGTACTTTGGTTTTAAAGACTTGAAATGACTTGAAGCTCAAAGCAGACGACTTGGACTTGACTTGGATTTATGGGCCAGTGACTTGAGACTTGACTTGGACTTGCCTGTATTTGACTTGGGGCTTGACTCGGACTTGAGGTCAAAGACTCGAGACTTACTTGAGACTTACAAAACAAAGACTTGGTCCCACATCTGGTTGGTATTATTATTCTTTATTTCAGACACAAATATTATTTGGTCCATAGTTTAAAAGAAGTTTAAAAGCTTCAAATGACTGCTAGTAAGGTAAAGTGTATTTTGCTTTGTCAATAACTTGTAGATATATGGGTTTACTGCTTGCATGGTCCATCTTATTAACACAGCCCCTGTCAAATCGGTGCACAACAAGTAAGTTCACACACAACACATAGGTTTCTTTTTGTATTTCCTTTGCCATCTTGTGTGATTTGTCATTATAGATTGTTTTGACTCAGTATTTGTGAGTCAAGCAAAGCTGTCCTCTTATAAGACAGATAAACTTAAAGGTCAAGAAACAAAGCTTAGTAATCTGACTGGAAAACAAATTTGTTTCTCAGCACACAACATCTCCTTGTTATTCTTGTATAGCTTTTCCTTGGCTGCACTCCTATCAGGGACATGTCTTGCTATAAATTGGGCTGTATCCAGATTTACTCCCCTGCGCGTGCTCTGAGGTCTGAGGGCCAACTCCAGCTCGTGGTGCCTAAGACGAGACTTAAAACCAGGGGGGACAGGGTCTTCTCTGTGGCAGGACCCAAACTCTGGAACACTCTGCCCCTCCACGTCCCAACAGCCCCACAGTGAAGTGTTTTAAGTCTCGTCACAAGACGCACTTTTATTCTCTGGCTTTTAACACCGCTTGAGTTGTGTGGTCCTCTATGTCTTTAATTTATTTAATGTTTTTTTTTTTTTAGCTTTTTTATTGTTTATTGGTATTTCTTGCTCTTATTTGATTTTACTAGTTTTGTTGTCTTAACAACGACTAGTGGAGTTAAGTAGAGCTTTATTTTGTACATGTCTAGTCAGGATATGTTTTATTTGTTTTGTGCAGCACTTTGGAAACTGTTTTGTTTATGACATATGAAATAAAGTCGATTGGATTGGATTAAAAAAACTGGGACATCTCTGGTTTGGGTTGGTTGCTAATAATAAACGTGTGTAATGAGTGTGTAATTGAGGAAAACTGTTAAGCACTCGACACTAAAGTGGCCATACCGGCTTGTCAGAGCCTGATCCCATTAGATCTCAGAAGCCAAGCAAGGCCAGGCCTGGTTAGACCTCTGGGAAAATCAGGTGCCACAGGGGGGCGCCAGTTGCAGAGACTGTTGTTGTGTCCTTAGGCAAGACACTTCACCCACATTGCTTAGTAAGAAAGTGTCGTGTGAGTGATGGTGGTGGGTGGATGGGCCGATGGTGCAGATCGGCAGCTGTGCTTCTATCAGTCTGTCACAGGGCAGCTATGGCTACAATAGTAGTTTACCATCACCGGGTATGGAGTGATTGAATAATGCTCTGTAAAGCGTCTTTGTGACATATGTCTGTCAAAAGTGCTATATAAATAAAAAACTTACTTATGTACTATAGTTACATTTTCTTTGTGTTTTGGTCATTTTTAAGCAGCTTTTCTGTATTTTACCAAAACAAATGACAATTTATGCCTCTCTTTACTGTTGGCAGGAATCAGATTGGCCAAAAATAGGTACACCAGGGACATGTCTTGTATAAAACTGGAACAAATCAATGTTTTTAGATAAATCTGCTGGGACATTGGACACATGGCTCAAAACTGAGACTGTCCCGGGTAAATAGAGACGTCTGGCCACTCTAGCCTTGTTGCATTGATCTTGCACTTGCTGCCCTCTATTCTTAACCTCCCCCCCTTAAACCTTAACCATTACACTACTTCACCATTAAAGTATGCGCCTATACGTCTGTACTGCACTGCGCTCCACAGCATGAAAAAGTTACGTTTCTCATTCCATGTCCCTCAGCTTGCCTTGCTTTAGTTTACAATGACGTTTTGACGGTAGCGCAACCATTTTGGTATCTGACAAGTACCTCCCCCTGACCAACCAGCGCGCACCCCGGGTCCTCCACGGCCAATCTTTACGCAGCGCTGTGACTCACCAAATAAGGAGAGACAGCGCCATATAAGGAAACGTTGTAGCTCTTTATAAGGAGAAAAGTAGATCCGGGTTGCATATATCCATCCACAGCCGAGACAATTGGCAAGGATTAAAGTCATTTTACGCGTGCGGAAACCCTTAAAACATAAAAATACGTGATTAGAATTGAATAATTGGTTTAGTTGGCGTGCTAATGCTGGTAAAAGTGGTGGTTTTAGATAGAAACGCGGACTATGTGACGAAGCGGATGTGCATGGAGAGGGTTGTTCGCGTTTTCCTTTTTGAGAATGCGCTCAGAGTTTTGGCGATAGAGGAGGAGGGTGAACCAAACCAAGCGGGGTGGAAGGGTCTTGGGGGCAGCATCACTTTCCAAAGTTTGTCGGTGATTTCCTGAAGTCTCCAGCCCACCAACCGGCGTGTTTTGTTTACATTTTGCAGGCCAGGCGTGTATGCGATCGAGCCGACATTTCTGACACTGCGCGCACTAGCTCTCTGGCTGGTGTTCGGACACTCGGTGCGCGCCTCTAGTAGGATGTTACCGAGTCAAGTTGGGTCGGCACCGGCTGGAAACGGGTCCGCATCGGGTAGAGGCATCGCAGGGCACGGGTCTGGGGTTGTCGGGGTTCGTCCTGTTTTGGTCCGAGCAGGGCACGCGTACGAGGGGGAAAGAGACGCAGTAGGAATGCTAGGGGCTAATGGTCCGAGAGGCGCTAGACCTCCGGGGAATGGGACCGGGGTGACACAGCTGCAGTCCGCGGTGCAGGCCAACGTGGTGGGGTTGACTGCCGGAGGAGTGGTCCTGCCCCAAGGAGCTGCGGGCAGGTTTGACCACGATAGAGACCCCCTTTGCAGCGGATCGGACAACGACTCGGACTCCGTGGACGATGAGGACCCAGTGGGTTCACTCGGGGACAGTAGGAGAGGGGTCAAGCGGGAAAGAGACATGGAAGCGGCCGTGGTGGGGCAAGAGGTCGGTGTCCCCCCTGGAGCTTACGGCATGGTTACCGGGGGAGTAGCCGGGGCAAAACCGGGGAAAAAGACACGTGGACGGGTAAAGATTAAGATGGAGTTTATTGACAACAAGCTGCGACGGTACACAACTTTCAGCAAGAGGAAGACTGGTATTATGAAAAAGGTGAGTTGAGAAATACTTTGGAGTTTGGCCAATAACAGAAAACATTCATTTAGTCTACTACAGTCACATGTAGTTCATGCTTAGTAGTATCCTCTGTAAACTACTGCCTAGACTGTTGCATGCTTGCACAATGTAGGGCTGTCGTGAGTTTTAATGCCCTTCCAAGTGCTAAACTATTGGACTTCTCTATTTACAGTTTTGCAATAAGTATGATTTGAACATCTGCATTCAAAACTCAGTGTAACCTCAGCAATCAATACACTTCAGCACATTAGACCTTTGCATACCCTCGATATACTAAATGGCATCTGTAATTAGAGATAGTTTAGCTGCATTAAATTAACTTGACCCCACTTAACATCCCATCACAGCAGTACAATATGTGTAAATGATGCCACTGCTATAACACCAGAAAGATTAACCAATGATTCAATTGTTACGCTTCATTCTCTCTTGGAAAAAAAAACCAAAAAAAACTTTGCAATTATACTTATGTCATTACTTTGTCTGTAAAGGAACGCTCAACTAGGACTCACAGATGGAGCAGACATTTTTATTTAGATTTAGCCCAACTATGTAAACAAGATGCTTTTTTATTACCTATTTATAAGTTGTTCCGTTTGGCTTTCTGTCTGCAGTTGTTGAGCAGTTAATCTTCATCTATGCTAAATTTACAGAGTGAGTTTGATGATCAGGGTTTGTCATACATTGCTTCCTATGTAAGCCTAGGAAACCCCCTACTATATTCAACCAGTCAGTGTAATAATAATACCGTCAGTGAGTATAAGCATGATGTAATCTAGATAGGTTATTTCTACAAATGATTGAAGAGGTTCATGGAAACATAATTATAGCTTGAGTCTATAGAAGGTAATTACGATTGGTGTATGCTCAATCATCAGGTTGACAAACACCTCGGTTACTGTTCTTGTCGTATTATTGTCTCTTCCATTATCCTTTTTGTCTGAAGTAATCTGTGCTCTTAATTATCCCCTTTGGAAAATTTGTCCTGTATTTCAGTCATCCTTTGGTGCTATCCATTAGTGTTGTCGCAATACTGCTATTTCAATAATATTTTATACCATTTCAATCTCTGTTTTGACGCTAAGGAAAAGTGTGTGTTACTCAATACCGATTTTGACACCATAATGATAATAAAAAAACATAGACTATTTTTTTTTTCAGCTTCAAATTTCATATTTCTGCTCTTTTAGGCTGATGCTTGTTCAAATAAGTATCTATAATAGTTTTGGTAGTTAATTATTGTCTGGGTTTTGGTACTATTAATGAGCCTGTCACTCTAGAAACGTGTCATTTTAGGCGACTGACCCCAGTGAAGCGCCCATGGACCCATCTCAGATCCAACTATGTTCATAATCAGAAGTACGTGTATGTTTGAGCGAAGTACTATGTAAGTAATTAAACCCTAAATAATGATAATTGCTTAATAGTCGGCACTTCGTAAACATGACAGGGTCTTTAGCAGTCGCAGTCATTCAAAAACCTGTTGCTTCACGCTTGCGTTGTCCTAGTGGTCCTTAAATAACTTTACTAGCAGCTAACGGTTAGTGCAACACCAGATCGGCTGTAACCGAGCTTAAACAAAACCTGTCTGGCCCAGCTCTGGGTTGTCAGAGCATTTATGACACCTGAAATAGACTTGAGCAAATGACAAGTCTATTTTTGAGCAGACCCACCCCCAAGTTTCTCACACCAGATCTACAACCTGGATAGACTTTCATACAAATTCATTTCAGTGATTGGAGCTAAGATTACACATGCTAATGATATCAAAAATATGTGCGATAATTCCTGCGGACATTTGAATGAAGTCCGATCCTGCAATTCCCCCCCAGATCCTCCAGATAAATGTTGTGAAGTTGTCATATAGTTTTGGACTAATTGATAGACAAAGCTGCCATGGTTACCCCCGTCTCATGCCCAAACCTGTTGGTATATACATGGCTCCTGTAATCTCTGGGATCAGAGGTGGGCTGGAGGAGGAAGTGAGGTCTAAACCATTATCTGACACAGAATGACTAGTGCTAAAGGACTATTTTTTGTGGTAATTTTCCATTTTGTAAGGATTCCAAGTCATTTGCAGTTAGCATTCACAATCAGATTATGTGAGATTATGAGATCTTAACTCTGTTGCTATTAGAAAGGCTTAAAAATAAGTTTTGTGATTTTAATTAGAATATCTCCACAAGTCAACGTTTTAACCTTTGTGTGGTTAAAATTGTATAAAAACGTTTAAGGGGCACAGTAGAGACACAGATTTTTATTTATTTTTTGTCTCACTCACCCTTTACATAGCCTGATTCATCAGTTGGTTTCACTTCGTGGAAACCATCTGACTTTGCAGCATTAAAATCCGTTCACTCGATGGTAGGTGGGTACTTTTTTTTAACTTAATCAATCGCAGCTATTTGGTTGTGACGTATGTAATGTGCCTCTAACAGGGCTAATTGGAATGTTAAGTTTTTCCAAAATCCCATAGGAAGGAGGGCAATAACGTCTTTCCCCTTGATAAAATTCACCAAACATTCTCTTTGATCTCAGTCTTGATCTCAGGAATCGTTGTCAACAGAGAATGTATTGCTCTTCGCTGATTTACTGGAGCCCAGACTCGCACTTTCGGGGTTCTTGCAAACCGTCTAGTATATTCTGATTCCTGACCTAGTTGCTGGAGAGAAATTAAATTGAGCAGAGGCACTAGATGGCGCTAGCCTGGCTACCCTTTACTAGGCACTATAGTAGTAATAATCATTTTTAATAACCAGTCAACTAATCAAAAACAAAATCGCTGACTAGTTGACCACAGTAATCATTAATTAGTCCTGCTAAAATAACCCTAGTTTCGCACATTCTTGAGCTCTTGTCAGTATGTTGAATCACAGCCCCCTCCTCTCCCTCCCTGTTCTGTGTCCTTCTGTGTGAAGAGGCTCTGAGGCGTGGACCATGTGGCAGAACTGGAGGTGCCAACAGCTGACCAAACCCCAGGGACGGGATCAGAGTGGGCCTCGGAGACACTGTCGGCGTATGCATTAACTGACTTTACTGTAGAATGTGCTCCCACTATTGCTATGCTGGGATTGGCAATTGGTCAGTGGAGCTTGGTATGAGCAGCTGGTGTAAAAAGACTGGTTTGTGTTTTACTGCTACATCAAAGCCAACAGGAATGAAGTTTATGAAGTGCCATCAGCCTATAAATGTGAACATATTTTCGCAAGAGGTTGAAATATTGATACCCAGATACTGATCAATACTAAACTCAAAAACAGTTGAACGAAGTATTGACACTGAAGGTTGTCAGGTGATGTAGGAACCTTGAACCTTTCCTGAGTAGTTAATGATCTATTTTGGGACAAGTAGAAGACCACATGGAAATATTGAAGAAACTAACATGATTTTGGCTTGAAGATTCTGAGTAGTCTAAAAATATAGTATCAAAATCAAACATTTCCTGAAGTACCCAAAATCGTGTTTGAAATATATCGTGGCATTTCAATCTGAGACTATGTATGCAATATACGAGGGGTGTGCAGAAATATTGAAATATCACTATATTGTATCGTTTAATGTGATGATACAGTATTGATATTGTGAGCTGCTGTATCGATATATCACCAAGAGTATTTTTTGGTGCATTTTACTAAATTGTTTTGTTATAGCGCTACAGTTTTGTTGCTTGTTCAGAGGAATTAAACTCATTTATGTGACACATTTGACATTTTCACTGTTTTGATGATAAGACAGTGAAAATTAACAAACACTTTTAGTATCACAGCCATGATTTAGCCATCATTTTTTATTGAACCATATTGAATTGGTTTGAAATATATCGTATCAAACCAAAAGTGCACTGTATCGAGATATGTATCGTATTCCATGTAGTGAGGTATTTGGCAATTTCTTAAGGATACCCAGCCCTATAATGTACCCCATAAAACAGACTGGTGATGTATTGTTGACAAGGAAGAGGAAGTGGTTTGCATTATTTATCAATGGATGTTGTTGCTCATTACACTGCACAGTCATTAAGACCCTCAGTGTGGTCTCTGCTGCAAGTAAACAGTTTCTTATACACGGCAATCACATTTGATGCAAGATTGACATTGCTCCAATTCACATTCCATGGAAAAACAATCGCCTCTCTCTGAAACTGCTGCTGTGAGCTTTGTTATTTTAGAATTAAAATGCTTGTACTAACCTGCTGTACATGATCCTAGTATTTTTGTTTTGCTATTCCATCTGTAAATCTAGCTATGAACATTAATAACAGACAAGTCAGGTGCCTTCTTTCCCTGAGGTTGCCCCCGGCTAGTGTTAGCAGAAGGTTTGATTGACAGCATTGCAACAGGTATACCCCCTCCCGAACAAGCTTGTGGGAAGGGGCGTTACCTTCAACAGCCTCACTCCTGATTGGCTTTTTGGTTACTATGACACTCACTGCTGAAATTCCAAATAAGGAACTTGGCCTTAAATTGGCGGTTGTAATTGCAAGTTACAACCGCCAAGAGTGACGTCACACTCACTTAGTCCACTTCTTCATATAGTCTATGGTTGAATGACAATTATGAAAATTGTTGTGTTTACAGGAAACTAGTATTGAAAACCATAAAACAACAACAACAAAAATCTAAATTAAATTGAATAGAAAATTGTGACCCACTGAATGTTTTGTGTCACCCAGTCCCTCTTAAATTCCATTAAAGTAACTTGGTTTAAAGTTTATTTATATAGCACATTTAAAACAACTTCAACTGACCCAAGTGCTTCACATAAAAGTAAAAAAACAAAAACAAATGAACACATAACATGATACACAGGAAAAATAAAACTCCAAGATACCCTGTCTAGGGCTACCACCTAGTGCCTCCACTCAATTTAATTTCTCTCCAGCGACTAGTCAGGAATTGGAAGAACCTCGGAAGTGTGAGTCCGGGCACCAGCCAATCAGAGAAGAGCCATACATTCTGTGTCGGCAACGATTCCCG